ATATGACCATGTGAAATTTTAATTTTTCTTTTTTAATAAATCTGCAAAAATGTCAACATTTCTGTGTTTCTCTCTCTCTCTTTCCCTCTCTCTCTCTCTCTCTCTCTCTCTCTATATATATATATATATATATATGAGCAATATCACACTCGTAGCAGTGCGATATGGCTGTATATCGGCACTGGTGGGAGGCGTGCGTTAGTGTCCCCACCAGTGCCGTTATACAGCCATATCGCACTGCTACGAGTGTGATATTGCGTTCATACAACAGTTTGACGGCATAATTGTGTATATAAAAACTAAATCAAACATGGAGAGTCTCAAAAACCCTTTTGTATGTGGAACTACTTTCTTCCGCGTTGGATTCAAATCATAAGCTGACAGTTAAACAGCCGAGCAACCATCTTACATATATATATATATATATATATATATATATATATATATATATATATATATATATATATATATATATATATATATATATATATATTAGGGTTAGCCCCCCTGAATTATTCTCCCCCAATTTCTGTTTAACGGAGAGAAGATTTCTTCAAGGACAACGCATTGGTGCAGTAGGTAGTGCTGTCACCTCACAGCAAAAAGGTTGCTGGGTCGCAAGTTCCAGCCTCGGCTGGGTCAGTTGGAGTTTCTGTGTGGAGTTTGCATGTTCTCCCTGCGTTTTTGTTGGTTTTCTCCGGGTGCTCCGGTTTCCCCCAAAGACATGCCGAACAGTTGAATTGGGTAGGCTAAATTGTCCGTAGTGTGTGTGTGAATAAGTGTGTTGATGTATCCCAGAGATGGGTTGCGGCTGGAAGGGCATCCACTGCGTAAAAACATGCTGGATAAGTTGGCGGTTCATTCCGCTGTGGCGACCCCGAATTAATAAAGGGACTAAGCTGAAAAGAAAATAAATGAAAGATTTCTTCAACTCATTTCTAATCATAATAGTTTTAATAACTCATTTCTAAAAAATTATTTATTTTATCTTTGCCATGATGACAGCAAATAATATTTGACTATCGGAAAAAAAAATAGCTGTAAGGGGCTAATAATTTTGTCCCTAAAATGTTTTTAAAAAAATATAAAACTGCTTTTATTCTGGGTAAATATTTATATATATATATGTTTGTGTGTGATATATATATATATATATATATATATATATATATATATATATATATATATATATATATATATATATATATATATATATATGTATATGAATATGTGCTTACAGTACAATTTTTATAATTTTACTTTTACGTGCTGTTTAAGAGATGTTTTTCAAACACTTTTTTTAAAACAATATTTTTAATAACTTATTTCTGCCATGATGACAATACATAATATTCAACTAGTTAATTAGCAAGAATATATTCAGCTTAAAGTGCAATTTAAAAGCGTTCATTATGTTCATTATGTTAACTGGGCAAGTTATCGGATAATAGTGTTTTGTTCTGTAGACAAGCTGAAAAAATAATGTCTTAAGGGGGCTAATAATATTGACCATAGCAATTTTTACATTTAAAAAAAATTATTTATAATTTTATTATTTCAGACAAACAAAAAATAAATAAGAATTTCTCCAGAAAAAAATATAAAATAGGAAAAACTGTGAAAAAAATGTCCTTGCCCTGTTAAACAGCACAAATATCTGAAAAAGAACATTTTTTATAATATAATAAAAATATAATACAATAATAATAATAATAATGTAATATAATAATAATATAAAAATCATAATATAATAATATCATAATAATTTAATATAATAAAATATAATAATAATTTACTATAATATAACAAAAATATAATATAATAATAATATAGTATAATAAAATATAATAATTTAATATAATAATATAATATAAAATATAATATAATTTAATATAATAATCAAAGCTTCCATATAGGATATTCTCCCCCTCAAGCACTGATAACATTGTTGATAGCCTGATAAAGAACAGTGTGAAAAGCCCTCATCAGAACACAGAGACTGTACTCTGGCTGTTTATTTTAATCAACAAAGTTAAAATAACATTAAAAGAACAACATTTCAAAATCAAAGTCCCCATCCATATGATGGTGCATCCAGCATATACTTGCACTGGCCTCCTCTGTCTTCATAAATAAACTCTCATGTGATTGGCTGACCGTATGTCAAGAGCATTCCCCAGATTGGTGGACAGAACCGGCGACACAAAGATACAATTTGCATATGACATGTTCCCCATTGAACATAAATGACCTTTCAGCATGTTGTGCTCTAGTAACTCGTGTTATTAAAGATACATTCAGTCCTATTAGCCGAGTGTGCTTTCTGTGGTCTCTTTGGCTGAGGATTTCACCTGGCTGATGCAGCCATATTAATCTGACAACAAACAATCATACATCATATAACCCGCCTGCATTTAATATCATCGTCTTTATCAAACTTAATACTTATATACTATACATCTGTACCTGTATAAAACAATGAAAAAATAAGTACAAAATTAAAGAAGAGTTCACCCAAAAATATCCATTCTGTGATGAGGACACATGCACATGTGCAATATTAGTCTAAATACCAAATATATCATCTTTTGAATATTATTTTATCATCTGAAACATGCTTTATTTAATGTCATTATACAGCCTAATGCTAAGTCATTCTGTTTAGACATTTATGATAAATATTACACTATAATTACTGCTTTATACACTACCTGACAAAAGTCTTGTCGTCAAACCTGGTTGTAAAAGCATCAAATAATAAGTTGATCTCTAGCTGATCATTTGGAAGTGGCAGATGTTTCCCATGAATCATCTGCTGAGCTGCATCCCTTTCATTCCAAATACTGCAGAAGACCTACTGGATCCCACACGGAGCCAAGATCATCAAAGAAATCAGTCAAGTTTGGTGAAGGAGAAATCATGGTTTGGGGTTACATTCAGTATGGGGGCGTGCGAGAGATCTGCAGAGTGGATGGCAACATCAGCAGCCTGAGGTATCAAGACATTTGTGCTGCCCATTACATTACAAACCACAGGAGAGGGACAATTCTCCAGCAGGATAGCGCTCCTTCTCATACTTCAGCCTCCACATCAAAGCCCCTAAAAGCAAAGAAGGTCAAGCTGCTCCAGGATTGGCCAGCCCAGTGACCAGACATGAACATTATTAAGCATGTCTGGGGGAAGATGAAGGAGAAGGCATTGAAGATGAATGCACAGAATCTTGAAATCTGGGAGTCCTGCAGGAACGCTTTCTTTGCCATTCCAGATGACTTTATTAATCAGTGATTTGAGTCATGTCAGAGATGTATGGATGCAGTCCTCCAATCTCATGATGGAGTCAGACACAATATTCATTCTGTCTCCACTGCAGCATGACTTTATATTCTATACTGGACATTATTTCTGTTCAGTGCGAGACTTTTGTATAAGCAAAGTCAGACCTTATTGTCCTAATGAAATCATTATAAATCAAGACATGATCATACTTTATTGTGGTAAAATAAGTGTAATCTAGAGGTCTTTGCCTTTTATATAAACCACTTCTGATACCAAATGATCAACTAGAAGTCAAGTTATTATGTGTTGTTCCTAAAACTTGGATAGGCGACAAGACTTTTATTAGGTTGTGTATTTTCAAAAGATTTGTTGTGTAGTGAGTGGACATAACATAGATATTTATAATGTTTTGTTTTATTTAGGGCTTTACCATTAATTATGAATTAAATCAATGTATTTGATTTTTTTTACTTCCACAACAATGCCATTTCAACCTAGTGTCTTAATGTCCGGATAATAGTGTGAAAATTTGATTTGAGAGCTTAATAATGTAGTCAATTTGGATTTAATGACTTGTATCTCAATAGATACCTCACAAAAGCTACTGTATGACTTAATTTACAGTTGTAGTCAGAATTATTAGCACCCCTGTTAATTTTTTCCCCCCAATTTCTGTTTAACAGAGAGACAATTTCTTCAGCACATTTCTAATCATAATAGTTTTAAGTCATCTCTAATAAGTGGTTAATTGTATCTTTGCCATGATGACAGCAAATAATATTTGACTAGATATTTTTCAAGACACTTCTATACAGCTTAAAGTGACATTTAAAGGCTTCACTAGGTTAATTAGGTTAACTAGGCAGGTTAGGGTAATTAGGCAAAATATTGTATAACGATGGTTTGTTCTGTAGACTATCAGAAAAATATATAGCTTAAAGGGGCTAATAATATTTTACCCTAAAATGGTGCTTAAAAAATTAAAAACTATTTTTATTCTTGTCAAAATAGAACAAATAAGACTTTCTCCAGAAGAAAAAATATTATCAGACATACTGTGAAAATTTCCTTGCTCTGTTAAACATCAATTGGGAAATATTAAAATAATAATAATAAATAATAAAAGGTGGGCTAATAATTTTGACTTCAACTGTATATACAGTGCTCATCATACACGAGTACACCCCTTTTTTATCAAATTTTCAGTGATTATACGTCATATATTTTGGTGCATTTGAGCAAAACATATTTATTAAACAGATGTATATATTAAAATAATATTTTAGTCACCGAACATCTTTAGAAATAGAAAAAATACATATAAGTATTTTCCTCTTTTTAAACTGTTTTAATAATATTTTTCCCTAAAACATAGGTTTGGGCTACTAGTTTTTGGACCTTTATCATAAGTTAATTTTGTTGGATTATTTCCAGATTTGGCTTCACTACTGATTAATAAAAAGTACATGTTCAAACAGCATCCTATAGAAAATATTAACTTCAGAGAGATTTGTGATGGGTGTACTCCTATAGGCTGTGCACTATATTTTGTGATACCATGATCTGTAAATGAGCAGCATAAACATTTCTTAAAATATCTTCTTTTATGTTCTACTATCAGGTTTGGCTATTAAATCATAACAGAATGTGCATTTTTAGGTGAACTGTCCCCTATAAGGGTGTGAAAGCGTGCTGTTGAATATGCAAAACAGAACAGTGAATCACGTTGCTGATTGGCTGACTGCTGAGAGGCTCATGATTTGATTTAATGTCATTCCGAACGTGACATCATCGGGTTTCAAGTGGTCCCGCCTAGAAAGGCTGAATGTCCAGTGATCATTGGACAGACGTACAAATCAATGCATTGAAGTACCAAATGACTCTTAAATAAGAAAAAGTTCTTTGTGTACCATATATTGATATTCGGAAAACAAAACTGCAAGACTCGTCTTCACTGGTCCACGTGTTTTTGTTTGTTTTTTTGGTGTGCGTCCTCCACAGTGACTGAAGTTTGACTTTTGTCTTTGTTTTGCAGTCTTGTATGCTTTTTTGCATGTGTGGTTGAGCAGCTTTACATCCATCCGATCGGAGACTCAATAACCGTTCATACTGAAATCTCATAGGTGGTTCCTCCGACACCGCTCACTTTCTTCACCCCTCTGGCGGGTTTGTGTGAGTGGGTGTTATGATTGGCCACGTTTTGTTTAATAGTCGAGCTGAATGGTTGGTGGGTAAACAAGTAAAACAAAACAAAAAAAGACAGGTGAATATATGGTGCATGTGGAAAAGGTTAAACAGACAAAAACACTTTTGGGATGCATTGAAAGTAGAACTGCAAAATATAAATCGCAAAATTATAGTTATTTCCATAATATGGAGCTAATAATATGCCAAAACAATCTGAATTTGTGTTAATTTGAATGGTTGACAATTGTAATTAGATAAATCTGAATTTTTATATATGTCATTTAAATGTTTTGAATTTGAATTTCTTAATTTGAATTTCTTAATTAGAATTTCATAACTCAAATATTAAACATCTGAAATTTAAGACAACTAAATTTTTTAAGGCTGAATTTTTAGACGCATTTTCAAACTTCTGATTTTTTTGTTGCTCTTACGCCTTTACCAAATTCACATTTAAAAGGACTTTTCAAGCTTTTTCCAGGTGCATTTTAAAACTTTTTAGATGCCATTTGTTGCAATATTCTATCCGCTTGTTAAGCGGTGACGTGTTTGTGACGTATGTAATACTGTTTCCGGGTCCAATTCATTCATTTGAGTGGAGAAATCATTTGTTTATGATCACGTTTTATTCCTATCACACATTAAAGTTAACTTTATATAAAGTCATAGTGTACACAACAATCTCTGGGCTTGCTGCATAACAAATACCAAAATTTTAACAATTTATAAAAAATTAATCACTTTCTGGCCATCGGATATTAGGCATGGACATATATATTGCGATTGTGACTTTCGAAAGCATTAAATCACTTTGTAAACGTTTATTATTACCATTTCATGAGTCTCCCCATTCAGTTGAATAGAGCGCCTGGACCCGGAAGCCGCTTTGCGTGACGTCACACTTAACAAGCGGATCGTACAGCATAGCATAGTGCAGTATTTTAAGAAAAGCTATGTTTGCCCTGAAATGCTGCCTCTTTTAAATATCGTCTATTCAAATCTAAGATGTCATTTTTAACTTTACATTTATATTTATTTGAATGATCTGATTTTTCCATATATTTAAAAATATTACGTTATTTTTGGCTAAAATACATTGAAACCAATGTATCTTTGTCACTGGATTGTTCATTCAGATTCGTTCATATCGGCTCATTTATAAACGAATTGAGCTACTCACTGTGAATGACTAGCGCAGAGATTTCTTGTTAACCTCGTTTGTTAAGTGCATAAATCTTTGTTTTAAATGGTAAGGACATTAGAGGCGTTAAAAAGTCTTTATTGTTGTGAATAGAGTACAGGGAAAGCCAATTGAGTTTTCAACATAATATTTGTTTTATGTGACCCAAAACTAAAAGCAGCCTTCCCTATTGACCTTATTCTAAAATGCGAGAGTGCGGCTGTTTTCGCGATTGTTTTAGAACTGCCGATTCAGTCGCCTATGGGAGAAATGACTAGAAATAATTAACAGCAGAAAACGGTTAAACTACTTGCCTTACAAACAAATGTTTGCATGACTATTTAGACTATGTAGAATAATATAATAAGGAAATATCAGTTTGCAACATCAAACAGTGTAACAAGCAGTTTATAACGTTTAGAAATGAATGGAAGTCTCGAGCCAAAAAGATTCAAATGGCTACACCCGCTCGTAGGCAAAGAATAAGGTGAATACTTAAAGCTAAAATACACGAGCTTCATTTTTTCCATTAGGCTATATGTAGAAAAAAAAAAAACATTTATTTTTACGTTTTTCCAGCCTAATTTCGCTACACAGCCTTTAAAAAAATCCAGTCGTCTAAAATTTCAGACGTTCATTATTCAAGTGCTGAAATTCAAATTCAAATTAGGAAATTCAAATTCAAACAATTTTTAACGGCATATAAAAATTCTGATTTATTAAATTATAACTGTCAATAACTGTCAATTAACACAATTCAAATTCAGATAGTTTTGGCATATTATTAGCTCCATACAATAATAGTAAATGCATTATGCACTCAAATAAAAGATTTTTTCTGCTTGTTTAAACTACTTAATGAAAATGAGCTGAAACAACAATTCTTAAGGTTTCTTTGGGACAACTTAATAGATTTATGTTCAATTAACTTAAATTTGTAAAAACTAATTCGTCAACTTTTGATTGTGTGAAATCCAGCATTTACAGTGTTCACCATATTGAGGTGTCTAAATAAGGGAGATGAGGGAATGAGGGGTCTAAATAGCAATGTTAGGAACCGGGTTAGTTGCTGTGGTGTTAGTAGGCAGCCGCTGCAATCGGATGCTTGAAGTTGGCCACATGGGGGTGTTACAGACTGTACCAAAAAGCTAAGGACCGGGGGGAGGGGAGGATTCTTGGGGTTGTAATTACAGGAGTTTTCCGTGAGAAATAACAAAAGAGTAGGGTGGTGGGAGACGGGTCTGAAATACGGGAGACTCCCGGGAAAAACATGAGTGTTGGCAGGTATGGTGTACACTAAAAAAAAAAAATGCTGCTTATTCAAACTATGTGTTTAAAATGAGCTGAAACAAGAACTCATGCTGAGTTCAGACTGCATAAGCCAACTAGATTTTAGCTCTGATTTTGACTCTCCAACAGGTTTTGAGGAATCATAGACAAATGCCTGAAATCACAAGCGAATCGGTGTTTGTTCACGTGAGTAAAAATTACACGGTGTGAACCATCAAAGACACGATCTGAGAGAATCACTCATGAGTTGTCGATGCCTCAGAGATATTTGGCATGCTGAATATCCGGAGCAGTCGGCGATTCAAATCATGCTGTGTGAAATGAGTTCTGATTAAAAATAACATCAGCGACTGCCTACAGCCAATGAGAGAGCAGCTTCCAGGCCAGCAGGAAGTTGGGGGACTATAATACCAACAAGCATGGCTTCAGTTGAGAAAAGGGCTTCTTTTTAGACACGAAAAATTGAGAAAACTAGTGGAAATTTGGCAGGAGCACACACTAAAGGCTTCCTTCTCATTATGTAGTTAATAAAAAAAGATACGCGTTGTTTCCATGTCACTTCTTGCGTGTGTTTGTCTAGGTCCGTAAACAACCTCTCACAACCAATGTTGGCAGCGATACTTTCTATTGTAAAGTCATGCAGTGTGAAAGCCCCTGTCGCTGATCCATCTTGCAGTGTTAAACAAAGCAGCGACAAGATGCTAGCCTAAACAGTCATGCAGTGTGAAAACATCTGTGACACGACTACTTTGAAAATCCTGCAGTCTGAACTCGGCATTATTTATGTTCGATCCAAGTAAATTAATAAATATATGATAAATTACATTCATTTTATATGCTAAGCATTTGTGTGCTGAATCCATCGGTTGTTCATCTAAATTTGACCAATTAGATGGGGCTGTGTAATATTTAGCCCCGCCTCCTCTCTAGTTACTGTTCTGTTATTGGCTGGAGCAGCGCAAAGGTAAATCCAGAGCTAAAAATAAAAACTCAAAATGAGAAAGGAAAACAACAACAGCCAATCAGAGTCAGAATACCTGCTGTTGTTTTCACTCAATGTGTTTAAAAGACTAAAGGTTTGCAACGTAAGTTTTTAGTCTGAATTAGAATGAACTAGATCTGAAAAACATCTTGTACCTGTTTATTTTAGTATCATTAAACAGGGTCTCTGCAGATATCATAATGTCAAATTTAAGACCTTTTAAGACCATTAAGTATTAAATTTAAGACCTATAATCGCAATATCAAAAACACGCGAGAGAAAATGTAAAAGCACAAAATTAGGGGTAAAATAAAGTTATTTAAATTTCCCTCTCTCGCATTACAACGCTCCCGACTTATAAAACTGCACTTGCGACATTTGTCAGTGAAATAATGGCATACTCTGCCAGCCGAAATCATGTCGCGCGCACTCAAAGCGAACTTCCACAAACACAGCGATGACGTCACATTCGCCGCGCGCACTGAGTTTAATAACAGAAAGCTGATTGCTATTGCAAGTTGACTTTTTTGTAGTTGTAATACCGCAAATTACAATTGGACTAGTGAAATAATGAACTACAACACCCCAAAAACCTAGCAACAGCAACAAAAATTATTTAAATGAGCATTAGATGTAGTGTTACATGGACATCGCAAAAATAAGACCTGTGCAAAAATATTTAAGACCTAGAACAGCAAATTTAAGACTTTTTAAAGCCATAAATTTCGATTTTTTAATTTAAGACTTTTTAATACTTTTTAAGACCCCGCGGGGACCCTGTTAAATAAATAAATGATTCAAAAACAGGAACTAATAAAAAGAGCATTATTTTCTAGGGAAATGTTGTATCATGAGGAAAATCATTAATCGCAATACTCAACAACAACACTGCATATTCATCCAGTATCATGCAGCCCTAGTTGAACATTTTGTAGGGATTTATGGATTAAATGTACAGAGAAAATGCAAGCAAGACAACAGATTTAAAGTCAGCATGAAACAGCATTCACAAGACGTATCATTACTAAATTATTATGTACAATTTATTTGCAAGCTTGTAAACTTAAGGTTAGGTTCAGTTTTGAACATTTTGATATAGTTTCAAATGTATGATCGGATATTAAAAGTTCAGGACACCCTGGAGGACTTTTTATTATATTAGCAGATTTGTGTGTGTTGAGCATCAGTTAAGATAATGTTAGCACCTGTCAGCTTTAATTGTGGGGAAAACTGGATAATTTAGAGCTTTTGTCAGCTAATTTCAGCTTCTGGGTTTAAAATGATTTTTGGGGCGGGAGCAAAATCGACGACGTAGCGCAGTACTGCAAGTGCAATGATGATGCGTCGGTTTCTCATTATTATTCATAGCGGAGTTTTCTAATCCTATGAGAAGAGCCGGCTGCTTAATTATTCATGAGAGCACGTGCTTTCCGAAGGCAGACCAGCCAGTTTCAAGCAAGATGTGAGACACGGACCCACGGCACGCAGTAGCCGTTCATGAAGGCTCGTATGTGTTTGTTTCCATGATCCAAGGGGTTTGTTGCATGTTTTTTCCCCGCGATCTTGTCAGGGCCGATCATACAGCAAAGCTGTGTGTGTGCTGCAAGCATTTTTGTCGCACGAGAATTGAAGAATGGCGGACGTTGACTTTTATCAGGAGTTCATTCACATTCAGACACATCGCCATGCTGCTGTGTTTGCCTAAATCCTCTATATTACCAGCAGGGCTAATGGTTAAAATAGGCAGGTCAGGAGACCTGCTGCACTGAGTCTGCATTCAAGATCTATAATTTAGACCCGGGGATCGAGGGAGAATCCTCATTTATAGTGTTTAGATGAACACACTTATCTTTATAATGATATAAATTATGGTTGTGTGTGTATGAAATTACTAATAACAAATGTAGCAGGGCATTAAATTACTGTTTATTTCTTTGCATTTTAACTTTGTGAACTATAAACTCATGCGTCTCCTCACGGTTTGCGTCTCAGTTTGTGAGCTAACTGTCATCAACAGTTATTCGCTCCCCTTCTCCCCTGCTGGCCACGCCCACTCCTGCCCGATGCTTGCGGAGCTCCACGCCCATTAATCATGAATCTTTTGAAAAAATTCTGAAGTAGACTTAAACCGAAAGTGGGGGGTGTCATGGCCCTTTAATGTTGTGTAACTGTCTGCCAATGCTGTAAAAAATTATTGGATGCAATGGGAAACGCTGTACAATAATGTCCCATCAGTTTATGTTTTTACTAACAGGAACAAACAAGATAGACTTCTTCATAGACTCTTGATTTCATGCTGACTTAAAAAAAAAAAAAAAGACATGAAAATTAGCAAAATGAGACGAACCTTAGCACAGAGACAGACTCATCCTTATGGCCACAAGGCAGGAGGAGGGCAGGAAAGAGGACAGCAGATGAACGGAGAGACAGAAAGAGAACAGAGAAGGGAAAAGGGCAGAGAAATGGAGGATGTGCGTGCAGAAATTCGAGAGTGGCCATGGGTGGCAGGAAGAAAGAGACAGTGTTACTGAACAAAGAGAAGAAGAGAAACCAAACCAAATGAATATAATCATTGCTCTACTTGACCATCACACACAAACACACACACACACTGAGGCGTGCAGGGATTTTGGGGGAACAGAGAGAGACGATACAATAAAATCTGCAGGCATTACTCACTTGGGCATTGAAGTCCCGCCCCCTGAGCTAGAGGGGCGGTGCTGTAATTCAGCCCCACCTCCGTAGGACATTGATTTGCCCAGCGGTGTATGGCCAGGGGCGGGGCCAGGAGGAGGAGAGCCCAATGAGCGTGCTCGAGGAGAAAGGGGCGGAGCCCGAGAAGGGGGCGAGCTGATTGGACGCAGGAAAGCTCTGTTGGGGGAGGGTCTTAGGGGAGCAGGGCAGGCCTGGAGAGATCCCTCCCTCTGCTGAGCAGACAGAAAAGGGGACGTGTACCCCAAAATAGGCGCCGCCCCCGCTGCTGTGCTAAGAGAGTGCGGAGGGTGTGGTCTGGGCGGGGACAGTTCGTGAGCAGCAGACTCAAACTCCGGGCTTTCAGATGGCGTCAGCAGACTCTCATAAGACAGACTGCCGTTGCGCGTCTGATTGGCTAAACTTTTATAGCTAGTGGAGGTCGTGCCCTCAGAGATGAGTGGCCCTAGTGCATTGTGGGCTGTGTGGGCGGAGCGAAGGCTTGAGGAGCAAGAGGCTGCTGCTGACTGGAGGAGGGTGTCTGTAAAGGAAGGGTAAGACCGCCCACCAAACGCAGAGGCCCCGCCCAGCCCCCCCGAGCCTGATCTACCCCCCTCCGCTCCCCCACGGCACCCCGCGGCCCCTCGGCTGGACAGACTGGGGTCCGAGCGGTAGCTGGGCTGGCCGGTGGTGACGGGAACAGAGGGAGACTCGGTCATACTGTTCCCTCGACTCATCTGAGAGGAAAAACACAGACAGAAAGAGTACAGCAAACGCTCCCAGAAGGTGAAGAACCACCAGAGAGATGAAGGACAGCACACAGCTGGACATTTGAGCAAACAACACCGTGTAAAGTGACATATGAAGCCCCTAAGGGGACATATGGTGATGGAAAAAGATTCGACATAATATGAGGAGCACTTATGTTTCAAAGCTTTTGCGTATGATTGCAGTGTTTGAATGAGAAACTTTGCATTTGCTTGTAAAACATTTTTGTCCATCTGAAGCAGGGGTCACCAAACTTGTTTCTGGAGGGCCGGTGTCCTGCAGATTTTAGCTCCATCCCTAATCAAACACACCTGGACAAGCTAATCAAGGTCTTTCTAGGTATACTTGAAACACCTAGGCAGGTGTGTTGAGGCAAGCTGGAGCCAAACCCTGCAGGGCACCAGACCTCCAGGAACAAGATTGGTGACCCCTGATCTAAAGTGTGCACGAACTGGAAGTTGCTGAGATTTATTTCAGTATGTTGATGTACTTACTACTGAAATTAAATATTAAGTAGGGGGCAGGGCTTTAATTTGTGCATCATTCCCTCATAGCAAACTAACGGTGAGAGGGCTAAGAATATTGTGGCTGAAGCGTCTGACATCAGAGGAGCCAGTCCAAACACAGAAGCAGATGGACAGACTTCGATTGATTGATTTTTCAGTAGATTAACTTGCACGGATTATGAATGCACCACTACGAGCAAGGCAGTCGCCGTGGGTCACGCCGATCACTCCAGGCAGAAGTATAAACCAGGCTTGAACTGTTGATACAAGGCAGGATGGACCCATGCTTTCATGTTGTTGACGCCAGGCAATGTTTCTTCAAATTTGGAGAGCCTGTGTGAATTGTAGCCTCAGTTTCCTGTTTTTAGCTGACAGGAGTGGCACCCGGTGTGGTCTTCTGCTGCTGTAGCCCATCTGCCTCAAGGTTGGACGTGTTGTGTGTTCAGAGATGCTCTTCTGCAGACCTCGGTTGTAACGAGTGCTTATTTGAGTTACTGTTGCCTTTCTATCAGCTGGAACCAGTCTGGCCATTCTCCTCTGACCTCTGGCTTCAGCAAGGCATTTGCACCCACAAAACTGCCGCTAACTGGAAATTTCCTCTATTTCTGACCATTCTCTGTAAATGCTAGAGATGGTTGTGCATGAAAATCCCAGTAGATCAGCAGTTTCTGAAATACTCAGACCAGCCTGTCTGGCCACAAAGTCACTTAAATCAGCTTTCTTCCCCATTTTGATGCTCTGTTTGAACTGCAGCAGATCGTTCTGACCATGTCTACATGCCTAAATGGATTGAGTTGCTGCCATGTGATTGACAGATTAGACATTTGCGCTAACAAGCAGTTGGATAGGTGTACCTAATAAAGTGGCCAGTGAGTGGAGAATTAAATGCAAGTTATGTGGAGTCAAGATAATTTTTAGTTTTATTAGACAGACCTCAAACTTTGAGCAAAGCTGACTTTAAGTGATTTTAAATGGAAAGAAACATGCTGCAATTTTTTACATCTTTTATTTTTCCCCATCACACTGTCTCCTTCGGGGCTTCATAGGAATGGAGGCACAAAAATTGTTTAAAACATCAAGGAAGATTTGACACAAATTTCATGCCATTTTTACAGAATGGATGAAAAAAAAGGAAAGACTTTAAGTTGTGCTTCAGAACGAGAGGAAAACAGGAGAAGTGTCCAGCTTTAGTCAAACGCAACGACTGCGGAGTCAAACACAAGAGCAAGGTGCAAAAACACACCATAACGACAGATGACACACATCTAAACTTACTCGCTCACTGACTGCCATTGATTTCAGAAATTCAAGAAAAATAAAATCAAAGAAAAAAAATCAACGTATGAACAAAATCAAAAGAAAAAAGAAATGCAATGCAAACCTCAAGTGCATTAAATCACGGTTGCCCCAACAAAATAAAACAAATCAACTAAATCTGTTACCACTTGTATTTTTGTGTTACCTTGCTGGAATGTGTTGAGGCCGTGTGGTTCTTTCCTGGGCTGCTGTAGGCCGGCCTGTATTTATACAATGAAGGTGTGGGCGGAGCTTCAGTCAGCAAGCTGCACTCTGATTGGAAGAAAAGACTGTTTGATTGAAGGTGCAGGTTTAAATTTATACTAAAGGGATAGTTAACCTCAAAATAAACATGTGCTTATCATTTACTTTAGTATTTCCAAATAATTTCATTCATTTTCTTTTTAGCTTAGTCCCTTTATTAATCAGGGGTCACCACAGCGGAATGAACCGCCAATTTATCCTGCATATGTATTACACAGAGGATGCTCTTCCATCTGCAACCCATCACTAGGAAGCACCCATACACTCTCATTCACACACATACACTATGGACAATTTAGCTTACTCAAATCATCTACGGCGCATGTCTTTGGACTTGTGAGGGAAACCGGAGGACCTGGAGGAAACCCACGCCAACACAGGGAGAACATGCAAACTCCACACAGAAACGCCAACTGACCCAGCCAGGACTCAAACCAGCAGTATTAAGGAGAAAATAGCAACAGGTTGAGTCTAGCTTGAGTCCAATGCAAGGTCGCTGGTTCGGGTCTTGGCTGGGCCAGTTGGTGTTTCTGTGTGGAGTTTGCATGTTCTCCCCGCGTTCACTTGGGTTTTCTCCAGGTGCTCCAGTTTCCCTCACAGTTCAAAGACATGCACTATAGGTGAATTGGGTAGGCTAAATTGTCCATAGTGGGTGTGAATGAAAGTGTATGGGTGTTTTCCAGTGTTGGGTTGCATAAGGGTGATAATTAAACCATATTGGTAAACAGAGTTATAAATAGAGTTCCACTGAGATGGATTGTTGGTGATTGGATGATTGTTGGCCTGCTTGGGTTAGCTTTACATGGAAAATTAAGACCTGTTTTCAATTATTTAAGACCTACAAGACAACACTTCAGCAAATATAAGACTTTTTGAGTCCATTAATTAATTATTTGGAAATGTAAGACTTTTTAAGACCCTCCTGCAGCCCAAGACTGGTTACTCACTGAAGCTAAGCAAGGCTGAAATTGGTCAGTACCTGGATGGGGGACCACTAGGGAACACTAGGTTGCTGTTGGAAGTGGTGTTAGTGAGGCTAGCAGGGGGTGCTCAACCTGCAGTCAGTGTGAGTCTTAATGCCCCAGCATAGTGAAGGGGACACTATACTGTCAGTGAGCACCATCTTTCGGATGAGACGTTAAACCGAGGTCCTGATTTTCTGTGGTTATTAAAAATCTCCATGGCACTTATTATAAAAAGTAGGGGTGTAATTCCAGGCCAAATTCCCTCCATTGGCCCTCCCAATCATTCCCATCCACTAAATTGGCTCTATCACTGTCTCTCTACTAAACCAATAGCTGGTGTGTGGTGAGTGCACTGGCGCTGTTGTCCTGTGGCTGCCGTCGCATCATCCAAGTGGATGCTACACACTGGTGGTGGTGTGGAGAGACCCCCCTTATGATTGTGAAGCGCTTTGTGTGTATGGCCATACACAATAAATGCGCCATATAAATACACATTACTTACATACATTATGTTGGTTCAATTAGAGTGTGTATGCTTGAGAAAAAGCATAGTCAGAATTACAATTCAATTGTTTTTACTTTCAAAAAAATTATTATATTACCACACAATTATTACAAATTACATCATCTAGATGTGCAAGCAGGACGTATATCAACACATCTGGACATTTGACATTAAATGGTTTCGATCAAAGCAATCTATTATTCTCCTAGTTGACTGTCTTGCTAAACAAACTATTTTAGAGTTTTCAGAAAAGACGCTGTGTGAACACTTGGGTTGAATGGGTTAATGCTCTTCCCAACACAATTTCTGCTCATTTTGCCAATTTTATTAAATCAGTCATGTTGAAATCTAAACATGCCAAGCAAAAAGTGTGTGTTTGTGCGTGTGTGTGTGTGTGTGTGTGTGCACTAACCTTCATTTTGTGTGTGAGGCAGCCCAGGGTATCTGTGCTCTGGTTTGGGTGGTGGAGGAGGATCAGCATCAGTGGACTGACTCTCCATTATCTCCAGACTACTTTTAGACTGAGGAACACACAAAGCAACTCTTAGAAAAAAAAAAAAATCATCTAAAGAGGTTTTACAAACCTACATCAAAGACAGTAGCAGTATTTGTTAATTACTCTAAAGAATTAAGCTCATCTTTGGCTGAATTTACGCTGCACCTAATTCAGATTTTTTTCTCCCATGTGGCACAGATCAGATATGGCCAGTGTTGGGGAGGTTACTTTGGAAATGTAATAGATTACAAATTACAAATTACCCTATTTAAAATGTAATAAGTAGTGTAGCTTTTCGATTACTTTATAAAAGTAAAGTAACTTATTACATCTGATTACTTTTTGATTACTTTAAGGTTTCTAATGGATATTTTCAGCTAAATCATTTTCAAGCATTTACACTGAGCGGGTATGACCTAATCAAACAAATCAAAAGCTTCAGAATAGCAGCTCTTTATAAATGGCCTTTTCAGAAGGCATCATGCATATCAAAAACAGTCAAAGCAACAGATTAACATTATTCAACATATTTGGATGTAATCCCATTTGTAATCTTTAACATTTTCACAAGTAACTGTAATTTAGTTACACATTTTTTCTCAGTAACTGTAACTAATTACTGTTACTTTTATTTTGTAATTAAATTACATAACACTGTTACATGTAACTAGTTACTCCCCAACACTGGATATGGCCCATGCACACGCAAGCAGGAAAAAAATAAAATAAAATAAATAAATAAATCACAAAGACTAAGATTTACTCAAATCAGATTTAGGCCTCATCCAGCAAAAACATTTGGAGACTTATATATATGAATGGGACACTATGTGCCCTCGTGTCTGCCGTGTAAGCTGGAAGATTGGATTTTAACCTGTCAATGAGAGTCGCAAGTCATTAAAAATGGTAGCGAATGACAAACTCTGCTTTAAATTTCATAATCAAGATCCTTAATCTTTAATCTCATATACAATGACCAAAAAAAGCTTCTATATTGACATGTGGCACAAGTTAATGTACTTAAGTGAAGTTTTATAAACTAAATTCGAGAGGAGCACGTGATGATTGAGCACGGCTGGACTCTCATCTGTAATCAGTAATAACCCAATCAGATTGATCTAAGCTTACAATAACTAGACCAATTTTACCCTACTGCCTTATCTTCGATTTGGAAAACTTGACTGATTTCTATAAGAAGCTTGGGTCTATGCTGGTTCCAGTAGGTCTTCTGCAGTATTTGTGATGATTGGGATGCAGTTCAACAGATAATTCATCAAAAAAAAAAATCCACCTTCTGCCACTTTTCCAAATGATCAACTAGAAGTCGAGTTAATATTTGTTGCTCTTACACCTGAGATCAACAACAAGACTTTTGTCAGGTAGTGTAAATAAAAAAGGTATGAATGATGTGTTAATACCTGCTGGATGCCGTTATCCAGGACTTTAGCTGCTAGTTGAGCTTCAGATAAAGGCGGTCGCAGAAATGGTGGCTGGACCTGAACAGACTGAGGCTTTCGCAATCGACCAAGATACCTGCATTAAAACAAGTTCATAAATCACATACAATTAAAACACACAATCACCCTCAGCACAAACGCATGTGGTTAGAGTTCAGCATAGTTAGAAATGCATTACACTTGATTCTGTTTAATGAATCCTGTTCTTTTGAATTGCAGTATTTTGCACACATGTAGGCTGTAATAAGTATAGAGGTGTGTAAAGGCCTATTTAAAAGACGCATTTAAAAGCGGCACGGTGGCTCAGTGGTTAGCACTGTCACCTAACAGCAAGAAGGTCGCTAGTTCCAGTCATGGCTGGGTCAGTTGGCATTTCTGTGTGGAGTTTGCATGTTCTCCCCGTGTTGGCATGGGTTTCCTCTGGGTGCTCCGGTTTCCCCCACAGTCCAAACACATGCACTATTGGGGAATTGGGCGAGCTAAATTGTCCATAGTGTATGTGTGTGAATGAGAGTGTATGGTGTTTCCCAGTGATGGGTTGCAGCTAGAAGGGCATCCGCTGCGTAAAACATTTGCTGGATAAGTTGGCGGTTCATTCTGCGGATTAATAAAGGGAACAAGCAGAAAAGAAAATGAATGAATGAATAATAAGTACCTGGGAGCCTGTGAACTGCACAGCACGTGTGCGATATTTTTGAAACATCCGTGTGTGAACGGGTTAACGCCACCTCTGAACTTCCCAGTCACCTGAAGGTGAAGAGAGGACACATGAGAACACACCCTTAGAAATCAGGCAGAAGCAAATAACATCATTCTGTTTGACCAAACAAACACAATGTGGACAACAGACACACCCAAACAAACACACACACACACCTGTTCATTGGTCGTTCTCCCTCTGGCTACGAGAACGACATGGAAACCTGTGAGTCCTGCAACTGGGACGAAAAACAAACCGGCTACACACATCACTGCCATGCTGAGGGATGAGTTAAGGAGGTTGGTGTATATTCATAAGATAAAAGGACATTTGGGATTCATTCATAAAACATGTGCAGAACACATTTTGTGTAACACAGTGTCCTAACATCTGCCGATCCACACACCTAGACAAGACGATGGACACATTTAAGTATCACAGACATTCAGAAGCACAGAAAAGCTGATGCTTTGTGATTTACGTGCGCATGTTTAAGTATTGTTTACAGGGTTACCACACTTTTATGGACACCAGATTCAAGCATTTAAGAACTTTTTAAAGCACTATTCTGGGTTCAACGCTAAGGATTTTTTCTACTGGTCCGATCGGGCCAGTGGTTCAGATTTTTACTTTCCCTGCCAAAATTTTCAGTCGCCCCACCTAAAAAAAGGACGTTAATAGCTATTTTTAAGCCGCATATTTTAAATAATGTGTCAAAAATAAAGTCTGTGAATCTAGAATTTCAATACTTAAAAACATGTTAATAAAAGTGTTATGCACACAAAAAGAGCAGAGAAAAATGTGGAGGTATTTCATTGCGGTTTGAAATTATTTAACAAAAGGTGGCTGACTTGTCAAACTTAAAGCAAACTGTGTAAAACATCACTTAATTTTTTTGTTGTGTTGTTTACACGTAAATGTCTGCTTCCAAGACGTTAGAAACAGATATTTTCTTTTAGCCTTATAATTTGATGTTGCCGCCATGTTGCTATCTTTTTACTGTACTGGTTGTTACCAGGTTACGGAAAAAATTAGCATGCTCAAAACATCAAATCAGATAAGAGGAATTGAAAGGCAATATGGTGTTTACGACATCACAGAGAAGGTAGTGTTTAAAGACTTACGCACAAACTTAAAATGCACGCAATTGACAAATAGTCGCAGACAAATAAAATTTTAGTGACAAGGCAGCACAGTCCCAATCAGGCCAGTAATGATCCTGTCCACTGTCCCAAGCGTCTCTCACGCTGGCCCTGGGCCATTGGGCTGTCCTAATTGTTGAGCCCTGCTATTAATTTTTAAATCAAGCACCTTTGTTATTCAAATCACAGCATATGTAGCACAGCACAAATCCTTACTGTACCTAACATTACCTACAATTAATAATTTTACCCATTAATTTTTGTCAATTTTCATGTTTTGTTCAAAGAACTTTAATAAAATGCATTAAATTCAATACTGGTGATATATTCCCTACTGAAGAAAAACAGCCAACTAGCCTAGGCTGGTTTAAGCTGGTTGTACAGCCTGGTTTAAGAGGGGTTTTGGCCATTTCCAGGCTGGTTTCCAGCCATTTCCAGCCTGGTCATAGCAGGTAAAACCAGCTTGACCAGCCTAGCCAGGCTGAATTGAATTTTATTTGACAGATTTTAGACAAATTGTACAAAAAGTATTCCATACATTTTGTTAAAAAAAACTGTAGAGGATAAAAACACAATAAAGCCCTGGGCTTATTTCCATTGTGGTCCTCTGTTGAATAAAAACAATGTATGGCTTCAAAATACTAATGAAGAATAAAACAAACAGTCGCCACAGCGGTACGAACAGTCAACTTATCCAGCACATGTTCCACACAGCCAATGGCCTTCCAGCCGCAAACCTATTCACACTCAAGTAACATATAAATTAAAAGATCCTCGTCCACCATGCAAACTAATTATTCTCATCAAACAAATGGGAGCCCAGCCAAAACCAGCTATGGTCAGCTTAAACCAGACTAGTCAAGCTGGTTTTAGCTGGTCATTTTCCAGCCTGACCAGCTAAGATCAGGCTGGAAATGGCTGGAAACCAGCCTGGAAATGGCCAAACCCCCTTTAAAATCAGCCTGGTCAACCAGCTAAAATCAGCCAACCAGCCTATGCTGGTTTAAGCTGGATTTTTCAGCAGGGTAATAGGGTTTCTAAAATATAGACCAAATGTGCATTATTTGTCAATGTTATTGAACAATATTTAAGCATTCAGTTTTTTAGTTTTGTTTTTGACAGCACCACAGTACAATTGTTGAAATAACACCATAAACAATTGCTTGTTTTCAAATTTAATTCAAGTACTTTCATAGATCTGTGTTTGTTTTTAGGTACTTTCCAGGCCTTGAATCCATATGTCTGAAATTCAAGCAGTTTCAAGAAGTGAGGGAACTCTGTTAACAAGTTCAGTTTGTTATTCCTGAACATTAGCTGTCTAAGCAAGTCAAAGGTGAGAATCGCGAGAAAACCGTATTCAAATGAAAGGATACGTGACTCCAGATTGGACCAGGTCCAGCTGTTTAGTGTGATGGAGGATGTAAAGCAGGCTGAATCCAAACACATCCATAATGTGAACAGTGAGCGAGAGCAGGAACAGAAAGAAGTAACGATAGTTCCTCCTCCCAATGCAGTTGTTGACCCATGGGCAGTGATGGTCAAACTCCTACATACACACACATTTAGAAGATATAAACTATACAATATTCTAATAAAAATACTGGGACAGATTTACTTTGCAGGGCAAATCAGCACAATAGCACAACCCCATAAAAGCACAGAGGGAAGTATACATTTACACTTATTCATTTAGCAGACACTTCTGCCCAAAATGACGTACAATTGGGGTGTTTCATAGGTTGTAGGTTGCAAGGCGACCATCAACCATTTTCTTAGAGGATGATAAGCTGACAAAACATTGCTGTAACTCTGTATTTTTTTCCAGAAATAAAACTTGTATCAAAGCACTGCAGTGTTTTGATGCGTGTTTGTCTCGGATAATGAGTCTTGCCGAAATGTGTATAACGTTATTCTATACAAGCTGAAGCTGATGGGTTAATTCTTGTCACGTGACTCGCGGTGATTCTACTATGCGCAGCTGGAAGGCGCAAGTGCGCCGCGCACCTCCATTGGTAACAACAAACTTGTGCAAACTCTGGAAAGAACGCAGCCCCTAACAGGCCACCATCATTTGCGATCTCCAGCAGTTCATGTTCTTGCACAGCCATGCTGGATTCACCTGATTTGTAGACAAATGGGTTGCGGATCTGTTCCTTGGTAGTTCGCAGGTCCTTCATCAGGCCTTTTACCCCTTAGCAAAGAAACTTCTTAAAGACTTACTAATTTTGCTGCTTGTGGATTAAATTTGGCCCTTTCAAAAAAAAAAACAAAAAAAAAAAATGAATATATAAAACGGAAAAAATTAAAGATTTCTTGTGTGGCCTGGTACCAATAGATCCACGGAGCAGTACCGGTTATTGAGGACACAGATCTAGAGCTACTACACGGCACTTCACACTTGTAAACACTCAACGGATTGCGTGCCTCTCTGTCCTGCACACACTCGTTACCGATACCAAGCCAGCCAATCACAGAGCTTACGCTACACATTGTTGCATTGTGTAGTTACATTTTTTTGAGAGGTGCATGTCAGCATCGGCGTCAACCATGGTGAGGGCTATGTGACCAAGCGAAGGCTGCCCTGGAGCATACGCGTGCGCTTGACGCAGAACTATAAATCAGCCTTAAGCAGGAAAGAGATGTTTTTATAGAGAGAAATTGAATTCAATTCACCTTTATTTCTATAGCGCGTTTACAATGTAGATTGTGTCCAAGCAGCTTCACATAGAAGAAAGAAGTGTTTCTACAGGTGGTTTGTCAAGCCCACTCACCTGTGTGAAACACACTTTTAAAAAGCACAATGTTTTTTATTCTTGACATTTTTTATACAGATATCGTCACGGATGTGTAAATGTTCTATTTTTGGCTACATTGCTGTTGTATGAACACAGCCTTAACTGACAAAAAACATATATAATAAACAATGTAGTGATTAATATGCTTACAATGAGTCATTTTCTGCCTTTCAACTTGAATGGACATGAGTAAAGAAAATTCTCTTTCTCTTCATGCTTTGTTTTCTGCATTTATGCTCCCATAGCTAATATCCAAGCATGTCAAGTAGGGTTGGGTACCGAAACCCGATGCCGTACCTTTGGAACCGGTGTGCACCGGATCAAATCAGCATATGAATTTTGGTGCCTAATTTCAGTGCTGCAACAAGAACGTAAAGCAGGTCGCGCACCAGAAGTGCCGCTCTGCGACGCGCAGCGCCATGAATTTGCAAGTCAGCGGCTGTCCATGTACGTTTACATGGACACCAATACTCTGATTTTAATATGATTAAGACAATACTCTGATCACGAGTCTATCACGTAAACAGTGATTTTTGATTATCTTAAAGGACCACAGACACAAACTGCGGAGTAAACATTAGGCTGGTGACACAATGATGTTACTGGATCTGTGCTATAACATTTAGCTGGGAATCATGACTGTAACATTCAAAAGCAGCTCATGTAAACACCTGAATCATATTATTGTCTCATTCAGATTAAGGCAAATCATAAGATCACTGATGTCCATGTCAAAGTAGTCACAAGCCCCAAACCCAGAAAGAGGTGTTCCCTAATTTTGATGACAGCCTCTCCACAGGTTAGTAGTAAGCTAATGTAATGTTAATAGCATAATGCAAATCTCGTATTATAAATATCTATTTATATTGTTCAATTATAGTGATAAATATTTTATATATATATATATATATATATATATATATATATATATATATATATATATATATATATATATACACATACATACATATATACACATTTTTTTTTGTCAATTTTGTGGCTAAAAGTATCGGTTCAGGCACCGTTTTGGCACCGGTACCGTTTTAAAAGTATCGATTTGGCACCGGTATCGAAAAAAAAAAAAAACGATACCCAACCCTAATGTCAAGTGCTAGATAATAAGACGTGCCTTTTCATTCCGTTAAATAATTGACTGAAAACTTCAGTAAATCATCATAACTTTAAACTCTCCTCCCATTAATGCTTAAATTAATGGTGTCTGAAATGTTTACGTTTCTGAAATGCTTCCAAAAGCAAAAGTAATTGTACACACTTTTTCATGACAAAGTTTTTGCAATTCTGTAAATTTAGCACCTTTAGTAGATTTTTAAATGCCAGAACTGGGATTGTGCTAGTGGGATTGTGCTAGTGCTAGCAGTCATTCTGGCCCTAAAAGCAAAATCCTGAAGAATTGTGTGTGTGTGTGTGTGTGTGTTTACCTCTACACAGTTGTCACACACAGAGCAGTGTGAACAGCGCGGCGGTCTGTAAAAGCGGCAGGTGGAGCACCACTTCATCCGCACCTGAATACCCCTCACCTCCACTGTCTTATAGAGCGGCGCACGGAAATCATCCTCTTTATCCTCATCTTCCTCAGCTGAGAAAACAACACACACACAATCTCATAAAAACTGACAAGTATTATTGGGTTTGGGCTTTAAGAAGTAACATTTACATTCCACTGAATTGAAGTCTGAAAACTGGAAGCAGATTCAATTGACAAGAACTTCTAACATACATCTATGTTAAGCTGCTTTAACACAGTCTACATTGTAAAAGCTCTACAGGAATAAACATGAATTCGATTGAAGTACACCATTTAAAACTTTAAACTATTAAATCAAACTATAAAATATGAATAAATTAAAACTATAAAATCATAAAAATATTACTTTAAAATAAGATTCCACTAATAAATTGATTAAGTATGAACTAATCTGGTAGAGAATTTATTAATCATAGTTTAACATTTACTAATTCATTATTAAAAATCCAAAATTGAGCTTGTTAACCCTAGTTAATGCACTGCGAGTTAACATGTACTAACAGTAAATTTAACTATATTTTCGTGAATAAAGCAAGAATAAATACTGTAATAAATGTATTGTACATTGTTTGGTCATGTTAGTGAATACATTAACATGAACTAATTGTCTATTAAAAAGTGTTATCCACATAAATTTGGGGGGTTCCTGTTGGGATGATGCTTTTGACTTAAAAATCTAAATTTGTTATGTCAATTAAAAAAAAAAAAAAAAAAAAAAAAAAAAAATATATATATATATATATAGCACTTTCTGCTGAACGTTTGGTACAATGATGTTCAGCTTTACACATTTCAGTGTTGATTAGACTTCTTGATGTTTTTGAAACCAAACTTGGATCTATTTGATCCCAAAATACAGTAAAACATTTATACTAAAATACTTTTGAAATTTAACTTATTTCTCTGAAAAAATAAAAATAAATCAGCATTTTCAGCATCACTACTTCAGTATTCAACGTCACTTGATCTTACACAAAGAGTTACAATATGCTGATTATTATTTGATTGCTATCGATGTTGAACAGTTTGTTGTTTGGGGAACCTACAACTATTTTATTTTTAGTGACTTTTGTGGCCACTACTATCTAATATACCTATTATAATGTTTTTATTCAATTATTTCTATCCTTATTAAACTGAACTACTCTAAGGTGGGCATGCCATTGTCTGGTGAAGCAGTAAGATAGCAGTGGTGGATCTATAACACAGAGTTAATTTAGTCACTACTAAATACAAAAACCCGTCTAAGTTTTATCCCCGAGAACATTTACAAGCCTCTTACATTGTGATGCTTAAATCTTTCATAAAATGCGACAAATTTTTCCGGATTATTTGTTTATTACGATTTAAAAATAACAGTGTTATTTTGAAAATGCATAATCTAAATATTTGGCAACCTTATAAATTGCTTTTATCACAGTAAAACACACGTAAATGACACAAAACATTAAAATAAACAAAAATGCTTTCAAATTTTGAATGTAAGACTTATTTCACAATCTTAATGGCTCTATAAAAGCTTTTTGTACCAATGCAACTCGCATATTTCTCTAAAAACGAAATTCCCAAAACAAAGTAGGATTCATACACATCAAAATTGAATATACAATTGAAGTCTGTATATTTTAATCCCTGATTTCTGTTTAACGGAGAGAAGATTCTTTCAACACATTTCTAAACATAATAGTTTTAATAACTCATTTCTTATAACTGATTTCTTTTGCCATGATGACAGTAAATAATATTTGACCAGGTATTTTTCAAGATGCTAGTATTCAGCTTAAAGTGACATTTAAAGATTTAACTAGGTTAATTAGGCAAGTTATAAAAATATAGCGTAATAAAATATATTGCGTAAGGGGGCTAATAATATTGACATTAAAATGGTTTTAAAATAATTAAAAACTGCTTTTATTCTACCCGAAATAAAACAAATAAGACTTTCTCCAGAAGAAAAAACATTATAGGAAATACTGTGAAAATTTCCCTGCGCTGTTAAACATCATTTGAGAAATTTTTTGAAAAAGAAACCAAAAATATCACAGGAGGGCGAATAATTATGACTACAACTGTAGATGCGTACCCCTAGGGAAGACGCCTGGGTCCATGAACGTGGCCATACAGAAATTGGCCAAAGTGAAGAGGAAGACCACAACATTATAGAGCGGAATGAAGGAGGAAAACTTTTCCGACAGCCAAGGACACCTGGACAAAAAAAAAACAGCACTCTTTACACTCAGAGTAATGCTGACACACAGTACTGACGTTATTAGCGTCTACTCACGTAAAACACAGGAACAGTGTCGTGGCTCCCACAAGGAAAGCGGTGGCTGCAGACACAGGCACATATCGACTGGGGCGGAAGGGGCGGGATGGGGAGGGGTCTCCGAGAGCCCCGCCCACACTCAAACCCACAGGCATTTGGAGAGATCCAAAATACAGAAGAACAGGGGGAGGCGTCAGAAAGAGGAGGACACTCGCCTCCTGCCTGAGTGAAGATGATCTGCAGCCATGGCCATTAAAACAACTACGATCTCACAAATCAAGGTACACTTCTCTCTGAAATCAACGTAAAATAGTGCACTTCTCTACTAAATCACTGCAAAGTAGTGCACTTCTTTTCTAAAATCCACTAAATACAATGCACTTCTCTCTTAAAATCAATGCAAAATGGGGCACTTCTTTTCTAAATCAATGCAAAATGGTGCAGTTCTTTCTTTTATTGACTAAATACCAAGCACTTCTCTCCTAAATCATTGTGAATTAGCAAATTTTTGTCCTAAATCAACATAAAATAGTCTCTCCTGAACCAATGCTGCAAAATAGTGTATTTCTCCTCTAAATCAATGCAAAATGGTGCAGTTCTTTGCTAAACCAATGCAAAATAGTGCACTTCTCACCTAGATCAATGCAAAATTGTGCATTTTTTTCTTAAATCCACTAAAAACAATGCACATCTCTTCTAAACCAATGCAAAATAATGCACTTCTTTCTTATAGCCACTAAATCCAATGCACTTTTAACCACAATCTTTGTGAGAGAGCACATTTCTCTTCTAAATCAATGCAGAATGGTGTACTTCCCTACTAAACCAACGCAAAATGTTGCACTTCTTTCTTAAATCCACTGAAAACAATACACTTTTCTTCTAAATTGTTGTGAGATAGTATATTTCTGTCCTCAATCAACCAAAAATAGTGCACCTTTCTCCTAAACCAACGCAAAATGGTGCACTTCTTTCCTAAACCAATGCAAAATGGTGCACTTATTTCTTAAATCCACTATATGCAACGCACTTTTCTCCTAAACCATTGTGAGAGAGCGCTTTTCTCTGATAAATCAATGCAAAAAGGTGAACTTCTCTCCTAAACCAATGCAAAATAGTCCAATTTTCTCCTAAACCAATGCAAAAGGGTGCATTTCTCTCCAAAACAATTGCATAACGGTGCACTTCTCTTCTAATCCAATGCAAAATAGTGCACTTCTTTCTGAAATCCACTAAAAACAGTGCACTTTCCTCCTAAATTGTGAGCATTTTCGTCCTAAATCAAGCTAAAATAGTGCGCTTGTTTTTTAAATCCACAGAAAACAGCTCACTACTCCCCAAAATGAACATAAAATAGGTCACTTCTCTACCAAATCAATGCAAAATAGTGCATTTCTTTCTTAAATCCACATGATATAATGCACTTCTCTGCTAAACCATTGTTAAAGTTTGTCCTTAGTGCACTAAATCAATGTGAAATGGTACACTTCTCTCTTAAATGCATGTAAAATAGTGCAGATGAATTCTGTTTTTTATCTGACTGCATGTGCTGATCGATAAAAAATAGACTAAATTCATTTACACACAAAAGCGATATAATGATCTACTGTAAATATAAAAATAGCTCTATTTTAATCAAAAAAAATGTTCATATGGCTTTAATGTAACAAGATTCGGTCAATAAAAGGAAACAAATCAAGTGACAGCAAAGCTCTTTTAGTGCAAATCTCTGGTAAGCCCCGTGTTACACTGAAAAGAGCCTTAAAGGAAGCAGCGATTTGAGTTCAGGCATTCATACAGTGCTTATTCATATCTCAAAACATCACAGCGGATAAGTGCATGTGAGCATGACGTCAAACTACAGAAACCAAGAAAAAAAAGGAAGAAGTTTTGGTGGGAGGAATACAGTCAAGCAAAAAGGGAAGAAATTAAAAATATGAATTTCTTTCTACGATCTCAACGGGAGTCTGGATTCCCCCTGGAGCAGTCCGTCTAAGAAAAGACCGTAATTACGAGTACAAAATATAAAATAGAGCTCTTGATGTCTTGTGCCCTAAATGAGAGCTCATTCTCCTCTCCGGGTTGATATTTGCTCACACTTTAGTAAGAGACGAACTTGCCCAAATGGATCACATGAATCTTGTGGATATGCACATGGTAACGTGGCAGGATGGTTCTTCAGAGGTTCATACGGAAAAAAGCCAAGTGTGTGGCCATCATCGCAACTGCGTGTGATCTGTGGGTTGAAAACTCCAGGTCGTGGTGACACACATGCATGAAAAACCATTATAACCCTGCATAGTGTCCCATGAGGCCTTTCTTTCCTCAATAACGCTGTTCTCCTCCTTTATGATTCCTTAACAGGTCTGAGGTGGTATCTGCAAGCAGAGGAAGATCATTAAAGATATACACTGCAAAAAAAAAGATTCTTATTTAAAGTTTTTGTGTTGTTTCTAGTTCAAATATCTAAATATACTTAACGGTGCAGTATGTAAGTTTGATGCCCAGTGGTATAACAAGGTATTGCGTTTGTTTTGATCCAGAAATGCAAGCGCAGGTTGCCAGATTAAAGACCAACAGGAGCGAGTCTGACTATCGAGTCTAAACGCTGATTTAAATCGCGTTCTATATAAAAGCAACGGCACGCAATTGAAGGAATATTCTTCATATTAAAAGGAGTTTTTGTTCTAACCAACAGCTCGAATTGATATATTAGAAAAGGCTTCTATTTCTTACTGGCAAAGATCACCTCAGGTACAGCTCATGTGCTTTATTCAGTGTTAAATGCTAATAATGCGAGTTTGAATGCCATTTTACATCACATTTATTGTCATACTACTGAAAGCAGCAGCAGATAGTTCACCTCAGATCTTCAAAATAAAATAAACTGTTTGAAATTGAACTTCAGAACTGTGACAGAACTGAGAACTTATATCAGTATCAGTGATTTAGCATCTACATATAATAATCTTAAAGAGGTTTAATGTGTATTAATTTAATTATAAACGTTACCATTTTGTTGGAGGCAACTGAGTGCACTATTCTGTGCTTCTGAATAGCTGTATTTAAATTTCTGTTGTGTTTCGTCTGGTGCAAACAGCCAAATCATCACTGCGTATCTAATCACGTAGAGTTTTTTTAAGATATGTGGGTAAAATGTAACCTGCTCACCTAATGTTTGTAATATTTATATCATTTGCTAATTAATAACCTCATGTGAAACTCTGAATCTGTGTCTCATTTTGGAGTCTGCTACTGTCCACCGGAGGTCACATTTCAGTCACGGACACATGCTTTCAGAGCCTTTCTGAATGAACGAATGAAATACGCTGTTTTCCATCAAGGCAACCTGGGGTGCTGAAATATAATTGGCTAACGTGGCATTGGGCGGGTTAAAAGAACCAAAACAAAGACAGCTGTTACGGCATGGAAACACGTTTACAGCAGAATATCTGACTTTAGCATTGTTTTTCAGATAAACAAGAATGTTCGCTTAACATGTTTCTTGAATATCTGCAAACATATTATGGTATTTTTAAGCTTTAGAAGAATCAAAAACTTACATACAGCACCTTTAAGACATATTGTCTGACATATTGTCTGACATATTGTAACATTTTTATATCTACCTAAAACAAGCTAAATAATCTGCCAACAGGGTAAGCAAAATCATTTTGTTTTAGTTATGAAACAAGATTATTATTATTTTTTTTTTTTGCAGGATGTTTTTGCAAATTTTCCAGGACAGTGGGTCTCCAGGAGCAGAGTTCGAGACCCCTGAAATAGTGGCATGTCTGTTACATGCCGCTGTGGTGATAATCACTGCAACTCATCACAAACATGCAACTGTTTTAAACTTGTAAAACTCCTTCGTGATCACATTTGATGATAACTGATGATCACAGAGAGCTGAACAGATCTTGTAATCCCAGTTGCTTTGCGCAGGTCCTGTCTTGTTGATATGATTATACGCGTTACTATGGAGACATGTTAATATGTGGCTGTCAATCAATCCGGTGGGCGGGGAAACCGCACTTCTACATCACGTTGTGGTGGGCCTCAAAATGGGAGAGATGTAGATCCTATTTTAACGTCAGGAAATTTAAAAAAATGATTGTCTTTACATCACCCCAATATGACTGTGGAAACACTAAACCTATAGTTCTGTGCAAACAGCTTAAAAAAAGATGATTTTCATCATAGGCGCCCTTTAAATTAACTAAATTAATTTCGATTTAAATTAATGAAAAATAACTAAAATATTTTGGGCGTTTTTGTGCAGATTTTGGACAGCTTTTGGGCTAAAAAATGTCAGCTATATCCGGCAACACTGGTTAGCTATCTTTACTGCAGAGCAAAGAAAATAGAGAGGAACACTGTACACCAGGGGTCCCCAATCCTGGTCCTGGAGGGCCGGTGTCCCTGCAGGGTTTATCTCCAACTTGCCTCAACACACCTGCCTGGATGTTTCAAGTATACCAAGTAAGAGCTTGATTAGCTTGTTCAGGTGTGTTTGATTAGGGTTGAAGCTAAAATCTGCAGGACACCGGCCCTCCAGGAATAAGTTTGGTGACCACTGCTGTAAACAAACACTTGTGGCAATGTCTGTATTATTTCTGTTCTTCAAGCCATCCTGAGTTTTTATTCATCCATTCATTTTCTTTTCAGCTTAGTCCATTGATTTATCAGGAGTTGCCGCAGCAGAACTTATCCATCATAAGTTTTACACAGTGAACGCCCTTCCACCGGTAACCCAGTATTGGGAAACACCCATACACTCATTCACACAGACACACACACACACACTATGGACAATTTAGCTAACCCAATTCCCCTATAGCGCATGTCTTTGGACTGAGAGGGAAATCGATCTGGAGGAAACTCACTTGATATGCAAACTCTACACAGAAATGCCAACTGACCCAGCCGGGGCTCGAACCAGCGACCTTATTGTTGTAAGGCAACAGCGCTACCCAATGGGATGCCCTTTCAGCTGCACCCCATTTCTGGGAAAGATTATATCTCATTAGGATTATTTTTCTTAACCCATTGGCAAATAATTTTGCTTGTTTTAAGCAACCGATCACTTAATTTTGAGGTGTTTTTTTTCCAGAAAACTAGACATACTTTTTATTGCAATTTCATGTGTCTAGTATGTATCTTGATTTAAGATTTTTTTTTTAAATATTTGGATTGAAAATAGTACAAAACTACTAATTTTTAAAAATTTTATTATCATAACAGCTCAGGTTTCCAGAGATGGGTTGCAGCAGGAAGGGCATTCGCTGTGTGAAACATATGCTGGATAAGTTGACGGTTCATTCCCCTGTGACAACCCTAGATTAAGAAAGAGCCTAAAAGAAAAATGAATGAATGAATAACAGCTCAGGGATGTTCAAGGACAACATGTTTGTGCACTTTCTAAAGATTTTAGTTCTGTTTTTGAATAAAGGGGTTGGAAATGAATGTTTTTCTTTCTTTCTTTTATCCCATTCATCGAAAAAATTAATTGACAGATGAATCGATTATTAAAATAATCATTAGTTGCAGCTCATACTAAATATTTAATAAGAAAATTGTAGTAAAATGTTTTGCTATTTCATATAACATATTTTAAATAATGTCTCAAAGCTCTAGTTTTTATACATACACTTGTTTTTAACATAACCCTTCTAGTACTTTAAAAACAATAATAAACTAAATGTATGCACAAATATCAGTCCAGGGGTCCGTTCTTCGTACGTGGATTACTCAGTCAGCTGGATTTAGATATTGACGATTTGACATGATCCAGGATCGTTACGTTCTTCAAAACTCATCTGAGAGTTGTTGTCATAGTAACAGTTCTGGTAGCTCAAGCCTGCGTAGGAGCAGGTTCATTACATATAAACAGGAACAGATCGGGTCAGTTCAAGCTAAGATAATACTGAAAGTATGTAAAGAATGCTGATAATTTCTTACAGTAGTTATACACTTGGAAAAATTGTTAAAAAAAATAATATATATATATATATATATATATATATATATATATATATATATATATATATATATATATATATATATATTTTTTATTTTTTTTTTTTTAACTGTATATATAAAGTTGAAAATATAACAATAAAACTTCTGCAATCTGCACTCTGAAATAAAAGTAAAAGACTGCCACCTAGTAGTTAAAATTAACATTTTAAAAAAAGGATAATAATTTATGCAGTTTATGCATTTTGATCAGTAATATGCCAGTGATTGACACCTTTACCGATATAAAAATGCTTTCTTGATGCAAAATTAATTTATACAGATATTCCTTACGCCGATTAAAAAAAAACTAGAGTAGGCCTAAGCTACTATGATAAAGAAAATCTTCTCTAAATGTAGAACTAAATACATTGATAAGCATTGAAATACATGATGAATACTCTTGACACATGAAAGTGTAAAGCCTGCAGCCCACAACAAACATGGAAAGTTATTGAGTGTTATATTTAAATCGTTTACTGCTGATTTGACGCAACTTTGCTCACATGGATAATTGAATATAAATCAGATGATGTCATTACGCTGCTGTGCCGTCAGCCAATTGTTGCATTGAACATGATTTCAAGGATAGATAGATCAGTCCTTCAGAACACATGCATCGATCTCAGATCAGTTTATCCAGACATTTCAAATCGGATTCGCGAACTTGTTTGAAGAACCAAATTAGCCAGAGATCAGTTATCAAGATGAACAGATCCAGGATCTGCCAAATCATCTTAGATCATTTAAGCGAGGTACGAAAAAAGGAAAGTTAAGTGTGCTCAGCAGTAAATACATGGAGAACTTTTAAACAAATGTTATTGTAAGGAAAATAACTAAAACATTATACTAAACAGAGTGAAAAATAACTTTTTTAAATATAAAAATTATACGTTTTATTAAGGTGGAACGTTAGTGACGGCCAGATTGAGTAGCTATATATGAACAAAGGAAAATTAAGACCTGTTTAAAAAAAGATGCAAGACCCACAACACAATATTTCTGCAAATTTACGACTTTTTAGGACCTAAAAGTTTGAGATTTAAAGACATTAAGTCTTTAAGAGCCCGCAGACACCCTGAAACAGCCTCATGAATGTAAAACTGTATTAGACATGTGCTACTGTTAGAAATCATTGCACATATTAATCGTAGACTTTATCATTAATATTATCATGTCTAACTTTTATCTTGGGCAGAATTTTTACCTATATATTGCAAATGATAAGATATCCTCCATCCCTATCAACTGGTTCCTTTATATTTTCTAGCAACTCATATCGAATGTTGACATAAATGAGGTGAAGCATAAAGAAATGAGTTGGGAAACCTGCATTTGTGTACACACTCATCGTGTTGAAACCTGATCATGCTTCTGCTGCCCTGTGTCACAACTTCTGACTCATCAGGAATGGGTGCGTCTCTATTTTTTTCTTTCCTGTATTCTCCACCAGGTTTTTTTTTTTGTCACATAATTCAACCCTATTTATCTCTTACAAGTCCCCTTTACCACAGGTCTGCTGTCACACTGACCACACAGTGACCTTGAGAGCCTTGCATTCACAAGCCTCATTACACTCATAATCTTCTTTCCTTGCAGCTACTCCTGCTGTCTTCATTCACAGCGCAACCTGATTCACTTCATAAGGGCTTTATATGTCAATATGAGTAATGTATAACATATTGGAGCATTCCCGTTCAATCAATAACCTGGCAATGAGGATGTCAGGTAAAATCTGACAAGACAGAGAACAACACAAGCAAGAACATAGTGAATAATGATGTTAGGATGTCACTGACCTACAATGGTCGTCTCAACTATTACAAAAGTGACTTGGTGAATGGGTTATTAATGAAAAATGTTGGCTCTGTTATTTATAAGCCAGGTGTAGTTTACTATATATAAATGACTGCAGTGCGTGTGGATTATGAATGAACCTACAGTACATTTAAAAACATTTTAAGCCACCTAGACAACATTTAGACCTCATATATGTGCACTGCACTTATTTGAATACATATTTGGTTGCAACCATAACACACACAAATGAAAACTCATTAGGTGACACTCATTAACTAACAGCCAAAACACACATTAAAATTAGGTAAATTAACTATCGACACGAATTAAACAAAAACTTGCCTTATTTTAAATGTGAAACCAAGATATGAGTAACTAACGTTACAGTTTTGCCCAGTTTCGTTAGCTTACCAGCCAAGCTAATATATCGTCCTTCAAAATACCACCTTAATTAAGTAAAAAAAGACTTTAATACAGATAATATCGCATGTAGTTTACACAATACTAACAAGTCACCCTATGAAATACAAGCGTTAACTTTTCGTTTCGTGTTTTTGGGTTCTGTTTAACAAGGCCGCAGAATGAAGCCTCGGACTCGCGTTTTTACACCATCGACTGAGGGACGCTTTCACGCGGCGGAGCTGACTCGCTATCTAAACAGAGCAAAAGCGAACTGCAACCTTACCTAAACGCGTTTAAATAACCAACACGTGTATAATGAATGTCATTCGGTCGTATATACTCACTCTTTGCCGTAATCCTCCAGTGTTTACGTACTTTAAATGGCTGGCGTTTATTCACACATCCTGTGATTTGTAGCCTCGGTTTCTCTTCTGCATCCCGACCCGGGGCAGCAGTATTATCAGATGGGAGATGAGCTTCAGCTCTCTCGATCCTCTCTCTCCCTTAATCTCAGTGCGTTTCTACGGCTTGGGAAACGGCTTTTGATCTGTGTGTGCCTGGGGCTGAAAACTCCCAAAGTCGTTTATCCGATGCACAGCCTGATAAGCCCAAAATAAAACCCTTAACAAGGCATCATCATCATCTTCTTCTTCAGCCCCAGCATCAATTAAGGACACCGGTATAGGACATCCGGAGATTGGTGTCTACATAATATATAATGTGAAAGTAATAATTGCACAATTAGATTAGGAAGCAATTTTACTGAAGAAAAAAAAAGTCATGCAGATAACATGTTGTCAAACTGGTTTTGGTTAGTTTTTATTGTTTCCTCAGAAGCTCGGGTGAAATTTCAACTGGGCTTATTAAAAATGAAACATATTATCTTTTAGAAATGTACAAAATTAAAATTTGCAATCCAAACACAGCAACAAAACTGCTTATCTCCTTACAACTGTAGATTAACAATCTAATACCTCAATTTAAAAGTACTTTAATATGAACTAATGATGTTTTAATGAAGAGCTAACTTTAACAGGAGAACTTTGAATTCATGTGTAAATACGGACCTCAGACTGCATGTTACTGCTTGTTTGTCAGTAAATGTAATGTATTAAGTTGGGGTAATTTATCACACTTGAATTCATAATACTCATGTCACAGTTAAAATAAGGGGTCAAACATTTCAATTTACTCACTACTTAATCAAATGGTTCCAAACATTTGAGTTTCTTTTTTGCTGTTGAACACAAAAGGAGATATTTTGAAGAATGTTCGCAACCGGTGAAAAGAAATACAATAGAAGTCAATGGTTACCGGCTTCAAAAGAAATAAATTAAACAGGTTTAAAACAAGTGAAAGGAGAATAAAAAATGCATTTGTTTTGGGGTGAACTATCCCTTTAAGGTCAGTTCTTGATTAGTGAGCCTCAACTTATCATTAGTTCATACTGATGTAATATTCAAGTTTACATATTAAAAAGACGGTTAACCCAAAAATTTAAACTTGTGTCATTATTTACTCACCCTTCACTTGTTCTAAACATCTTTGAGTTTGTTTATTCTGTTAAACACAAAGGAAGATATTTTAAAAAATGTTCGCAACCGGTCACCATTGACATCCATTATAGGAAAACAAATACAATAGAAGTCAGCGTTTACCGGTTTCGAACATTCTTCAAAAAATCTTTTTTAGTGTCCAACAGAAGAAATAAATTGAACCGATTTAGAATTATGAAAGGAGAGTTTAAATGTGTTTGTTTTGGGGTGAACTATCCCCTTAGGTTCAGTTCTTAATTAGTCAGTCATCATTACTTAACTCATCATTAGTTCATACTGATGTAATATTTAAGCTTGTATATTTTTGGGTAAACAGTCTCTTTAACATGTAAAAATTAGATATTACTCAGCAATGTTGTTTTGAACAATGATGCCATAAAAGGGCAACCGGGTGAGACACAGAGCAACTAATTAGGGCTACATTAGATACAATACTGTTGCCCAATCTTAATAGAAAAATAACCAAGCAACATTGCCCAGCAACATTGAACCTGTGTATCAAGATTACAATGCAGAAAATGCCTTTAATATTTAGAGCTTTAGTCTTGCTGAGTATTTAAACCTGTCATTTTATATGACAAATAAAACATTTTAATCTTGTTTTTAGTGCAAATTTCCCAAAATACTTAAATCAAGAAGCATTTTTAGATGAGTAAAGAAATATTGTTTTGTTTTCAGGAATAATGGGTGGAATTTAAGTGAGTTTTATCTTAAAACAAGCTAAATAATCTGGTAATGGGGTAAGCTAAATAATCAAAGTTTTGCTTTGAATAACATTTTTTTATCTTACCCTGTAGGCAGATTATTTAGCATGCTTAAAGATAAAACTCACTTATTTTTATCCATCATTTTGGAAAACAAAACAATAACTTTGTCAAGAAAATGCTTCTTGATTCAAGAATTATTGGATATTTGGACTAAAAAAAACAAGACGAAAATGATCTAAAGAAGCTTTATTTTGCAGTGTTTGGGAACACTTTATAATAAATGCAGATAAATAATAGTGTATTAAAGGGATAGTTCACCCCAAAACAAACATTTACTCACCCTCAAGATGTTAGAAACCTTTTTGAATTTCTTTTTTTAGAAACGAGACAAAAGTATGGAGCCATATCAGTCTCAAAAATAGTACTCATAAATGCACAGCATAATACACATTTACACAATTAAAATTCAAATTGTAAATTGAATTGTAAATTCAAAGCACAGTTCATAAATACACAAATCGAATTTGTAGATTCAAAACACAATTTGTGAATTCACAAGTAAAAATATTAAAATAATACCCCAAATTAATTGGATGTGACCATTTATGACTTTTATTTTGAATTTACAAATTGGATTTGCATATTTAAAAATTGTGTTTTGAATTTACGAATTGGATTTGCATATTTTTAAATTGTGTTTTGAATTTATGAATTGTGTTTTAAATTTACGAATTGGACTAGTATATTTATGAATTGTGTCTTAATTTCATGTATTGGTTTGCATATTTATGAATTGTTTTAAATTTATGAATTGTGTTTTAAAGTTCTGAATTGGATTTGCATATTTATGAATTGTGTCTTGAATTTATGAATTGAATTTGCATATTTATAAATTGTGTTTTGAATTAACAAATTGTATTTGCATATTTATGAGTTGTGTTTTTGAATTTACGAATTGGATTTGCATATTTATGAATTGTGTCTTAAATCTATGAATTGGTTTTCATATTTATGAATTGTTTTAAATTTATGAATTGTGTTTTAAAGTTCTGAATTGGATTTGCATATTTATGAATTGGATTTTTAAATTCACGATTTGTGTTTGCGAATTTATGAATATTGTTTTAAATTAGCATATTAAAGTTTGTAAATGTATTATTTTTGAGACTGATCTGGCTCTACACAAAAGCTCTAAGTAATGAAGCCATTTTTGCAGAGTAAAGCTTCTCTATTATTTGAGGTCAATGAAGCGAATGTCCATGATGAGCAGTGTGTGTCGTGGCAGCGGTCTGGGAGCTGGCGAAAGCACCGTCATCACCTGCGCTTGTGTGTCCACCGCCGTCACCACAATAAAACCACACGCGGGACTCTCCAAAATGCCCCGACTTTGACCCACCTCCGCCTCATCGTCCACCGAACTCACACTCAACACATGATGGGTCAAATCTCGGCCAGGACTCACCGGCACCAGCTTTAGCTGCGTATCGTCTTGCGACATCCCCAGAGGAAGACAAGAGTCAGGAATTGACGGTGCACCGATTTTATAAATGCGCACATCTGAAAAGCGAACATCAAAAGCGTGAGGGTAGAACGAAGTTCCTCGGAAGCCGTAGAAATATTCGCGGATCTTTTCGTCGCGTGTTTCTCGCCGGCAGTCTTTGGAGCGCTCCACTACTCCGCCGGATTTTGGGAGTAAAACGACACGGACAAAGTGTGGAAGGTCTCGTTTCAGCTCGTTGTATAAACGCTCCTGGTCCAGGACGAGAACCACATCCACCTGCAAGTAGACAGATATTCAATCATTTAATACATTGTGATAATTTACATGGATATTATTGATATGAAATTTAGGGCAAAATGAATCATTATTAGCATCAAATATTTCTCAAGTGATATTTAATGAAGCAAAGAAATTTTTGTTGTATTTCTGATAATATTTTTTCTTCTGACGAAAGTCTGATTTATTTTATTTTGGCTGGAATAAAAGCAGTTTTTATTATTAGTTTTTTACTATTTTAAGGTCAATATTATTACCCCCCTTTAAGCAATATTGCACATCAGCAGCAGAAACCAGGGACATGGACCAGTATGTGTGGATCAACTGGTACCGGGCCACACAAGAAATCCTTAATTATTTCCGTTGTATCTATTATCCAAGTCTGAACATTCTTTTATTTTGAAAAGTTACTGTATTCTCTCGGCCACTTGAGCTGCAAAATTTAACCCACAAGCTAGCAAAATGAGTAAGAAACAGACGTCTTTGGTAGTTTCTTTGCCAATGGGAAAAAGCCTAGTGAAGGACCCGCTAACTGCCAAGGAATGAATCCGCAACCCATTTGTCACAAATCAGGAGAATCCACCACATCTGTGCAAGAAGATCAACTGTTGGTGATCTCAAATGACGGCTGTTCACATATCGCGTCTTTTTTGCGCGCAAGTTCGCTATTTCCAATGGAGGCAAGCCGCGTGCGCGCAACTTATTTGGAGCGTCAGAAGGGAAAGCGCCCAGTTTCACAAGTCACGTGACAAGAACTGACTGATCAGCTTCATACATTGTTTGGACAATTTGGTAGACTAATTATCTCAGACAAACACATAACACCCAAAAAACTGCAGTGTTTTAATTTTCTCCATAAATAAAACTTGTATCACAGTTACAGCAATGTTTTGTCAGCTTGTTATCCTCTGAGAAAACGGTTAATGGTCGCCTGGCAATCTACATAGACTCCCCTTGGAAGGGCTTGAAATTGCGCCCAAAATTTTATTTATGCGACCTCAATATATTTTGGAGCATTTATGAGAGTGCATAAAATTGTTGTCGTGCGACCAGTTTTCACAGCAAAATGTTCACCACATGCGCAGAATTAGGAGACATTCACGCATTAGGTATCTTTGCACCTTAAAACACCAAACGCAGCGCTAAGGAATGGTTGAAAACAGTTGACATGTAAACATGCTGCAGTAAACAAAGCCTGCAATACTTGTCCCGCCTTCAAGCTCTTCTTATTGGCCCACTGCGCTATAACAGAACGTGAATAGATTGGTTAATATCAGCTGTCAATCACTCAGTTCCGATGGAAGGGAGCAACAGCCGCGAAAACCTAAAGGTCTGGATACGAGAGAATGAAAACAACACTGACAGATTTAGTTTTAGAAACCACCTAAAGTTACAAATAATGACACATCTGATTAGTCTGATTAGTGATCATGTGCTGAATGTCAATCCAGCATTTACACTTTTCGAAGAGTGGATAAAAGACCTCCAGTGGTTAAAGTCCGCTATGAAAATGACTAAAGCATTTACTGTGAAGCCAGTAGGACGGAGTTTTCAGGTAACAGTGATTTCCACTGAATCTACACATTTAAGCACGAGATGTTCTAACGTCATTTTTCATTTAATCGTCACGATGCTGTCAGTCGTGTGACTGACACCGCGTGCACCATCGCTAAAGAGCATGCATTCACTGAGAGGAAACTAATATTGCAGCTCATGTAAAGACCGTTATTGCTATTAAGATGGTGTATGCAAATAACTAGTTATATGTTATAGTTATATATATTGTTAATTCAGTTCATCTCATTCACGTCAAGCAGTGTGTGCAGGGCCGGTAAGCGCATGCAGATTTTTATTTATTTGTTAGTTTTGTTTAGAGTTGAGTTTAAATGCAATAAATCTGTTAATATAAAACATAGTTGTATTAATAATAGTTTTTGGAGGGTGCGACTAAATTTTGTCTGGTCTGGTGTCTGGTTTTTGAAGTTAGGAGCACGGGTGCTACCAAGAATAAAGGTTAATTTCGAGCCCTGCTTGGCCATAGTACAATTGTCAAGTGTTGACTTGTCCGTGGTGATAAATAGGTTGCAGACTACTGTTCTACAGAACAAACTATAGTTTTACAATGACTTGCCTGAATAACCTAGTTAAGCCTTTATATGTCAATTTAAGCTTTTTTTTTGGTTATCATTACAACTGGCAAAGCCATCTTTCACAGCTTAGTTGGATATCAGAACAATACAGAATCTCGATATCATGATAATACAGAAACACAGAATATCATGATCAATTTTCAGCAATTAATCGCAACAATAAAATGTGAGTGTACCTGGAAGGCTGAAGCGCAGTGGACCAGAGCCTGGTATCCGGAGCCTTTTACCCAGCCACAGGTGTTGATGATGCAGCCGCCAACGCTAGCTCTGCGGTTCACCTCACAGCGCTGGGAAAACGCATCTGCAAGGCTTGAAGTCAGCTGTACACCAATGAGAAAACAACAACAACACATTTTATAAACTTGTCTGAACGGCATTCCGACATCTGACATACAACCAACCTTCTGTCTCGCTACAATCCAGCTCGCTCTTTAAGATCTCAAAACTCAGGGCTTCTGGTAGTACCTAGAATAGCAAAGTCAAGTATGGGAGGTAGAGCCTTCTCCTTTATGGCTCCTAAACTCTGGAATAGCCTTCCTGATAACATCCGAGGCTCAGACACACTCTCTCAGTTCAAAACTAGATTAAAGACCTGTCTGTTTAGTAAAGCATACACTCAATGCATCACCTAGCGGGTTTCCACACAAGTTTCTGCATCTTGTTTATATACACTATGAACAGCAGCTACACTAATTATTCTCTTTATTCTCCATTTCCACCTGGGGATACTCATCCCGAGGTCCTCAGATTATGCGGAGTCACTGATTGGATCCAAGACCAGAGACGAGATGATCCCAAGGTGTCCATATCCGGGACCAGGCCGTATCTTGAGCTGCTGTTGCGCTGTTGGCCATGGGGAGTGGAGAGCATGAGACTGATTCCAGTGACGCTCCAGGGACAGACGAGTCTTCGCTGAGGCCAGCTTCCAGCCTCCACTGCTGAGACTGCAGTTCTGCACAAGACATTAGGCCATCGGAGAAATTAAAATGGTCGTGCCCAACTGAGTCTGGTTCTCTCAAGGTTTTTTTCTTCACTCTCCTATTGGTGAAGTTTTTTTCCCTCTCTGCTGTCGCCACTGGCTCGCATGGTTCAGGATCAGAAAAGCTACGCATCAATGAATTTGCTCTTCAGTGTTTGGACTCTCAATAATGACTTCAAACCACACTGAACTGAGCTAAACTGAACTGAACTTAAACACTAAAAACTGAACTTCCCTGATCCAGTTACTATGACCATTTATGTGAAGCTGCTTTGACACAATATACATTGTAAAAGCGCTATACAAATAAAGCTGAATTGAATTGAATCTGTTATGTCGTTTATTATAACGGTTTTAAGAAACCCTAATATTTTCTGTTATACCGTTCCTTACCAAAACGTACCTTTTCTTTTCGGCTTAAGGCAGTTCACACCGGGACGCTTTTTGCTCGTGTTTTTCATCGATGTTCAATGCCTCGTGACTAAACAAAGGGCGCTAATGTGATCGTGCACACCAATGCGTAAAAAGGCAGGTGTAAAAGCGTCGTTTTTAGAGAAATGCCTGATGCTCGTTTTTTGTTTTGACACACTTCATCAAAAACCACCAATCAGATTGGCACTTTTGTTCAGCCAGGATCTGCTGAAATTACAGTAAACACCACTTGGAAGCGCTCAAGCGCAAAAACAGTAGAGGTGATTCCAGTTTCACTTTCATTCATTAGCTGCATTTCCGCTGTCGGGCCAGTGCGAGCCAGAGCTGTTATCGGGCCGTACCAATAGCCCGTGAGCATGAGCAGTGAGGCTGAAATCATGTTGCATTTCCACTTTCAAGCTAGTAGCACGCAGCTTGTCACGCAAACCCCGCCCCCACAAGCTCCCTCGAATCAAACCTCACACAACCCGCCCACTTCAGCGAGAATCAGGCAAACAAAGCACAACATTACATCATCAAGAAACGATTAAAAATTAAGACAACTGAAACAAACAAATGACACATTACTGTACAGCAGTACATTATACGTGTTCGCCGTCAAACATTCAGTCCAAATGCTCCGGAGAGACCTAAAACATATTAATATTTCCCTAGGCTATATGACACTTATAGGTAATTCCCCTTTATTTAAGAGAATAATGTAAAGATGTTGCATATTATTCAGTTATCTTAAGTAAAGGAAAGTGTTCAGTGTTTCAGCACATAAGAGGAAGTAATGAAAGCCTACATTTCATTGCGCTCAGCAGCTATATCTGCTAATAAAGCTTGATATTTCAAATTTCATTTTTAAATTTTACCTCGTCATATAAAAACATAAGCACTTGTTACAGGACACAGAACACATTTTTATGTGCAGTTTTTCCCAATCCGTTTATAAAGCAGCACTGCAGGACTGGATAAAAGAATGTAGCTTCTGGTTTCACTCACCCATAAAATGCTCTGTTTGCACAATTTGATTAATATCATCGTATCCAAATACTTTATAAATAATATTTCAAAACTCCTCTGTTGTTTATTGTTTTTAGTAAATATGTAAAAAAAAATTCAGCTTGGCCTTTGTAAAATGAAAGCTTAAATGGCTTAAAATGGTTTAATTTATCAGTATTGTATATACCTACATTGTTATAGCTTTTGTTTGTTTTATATTGCTTTATTGATTTAATGTGATTTATTAAATCCAAAATTTGTAATTCTTTGAATTATTTCAATATGGCTTAGGCTGTTTTATTGAGATTTGACACTATTGTTTTGAGCCTACAAAAGTGGACACATAATTTGTCAAGATTTATGTCTTTTTGTTGTATTCATATTTTGTATTATCTCCAAAAGAAAGAAAGAAAGAAAGAAAGAAAGAAAGAAAGAAAGAAAGAAAAAAAGAAAGAAAGAAAGAAACCCAGCTGTCGCAGCATCAAGAGCTGTCAAGCAAGCGCTCTTTCGCCGGTCTCTCACACACACGCACATGCATTTAAACATGCACGTTTCATGCACAAACACCTTTTAAACTTGACAAAAACTCTCGACAACATTTACTTGCTGCTGTGTGTTTAATATGGTGTTTGATCCTCGTCTGAGTATTTTATTTTTTTATTTTTATTGTTAAGACATATAATACTGTTGGGGTTGTTGAAAATTTGAAGTTCTAAAGCAGCTGTTTTCTAAAAAAAAAAAAAGACGTGATAGTGTAATTACAAACTGAAATGGAAATGACCTTATTTTAATATAGTCAGTCGTGAACTGAGGTGGGCCGGTGTGAGGCTTGAAACTCCAGAACTGAAAAGGAGTGCCACTCCGGCCCTGGTGTAAAGATTATTATGCGTTATTGAAACATCAAGAACGCAAGAAAGCAAAGAAAAATCACTTATAAATTAAAACTACTTTATTATTTTATGCAATGGCCTTACATTTAAAAGGGAAACCTAAGGGCGATCATAAGCAAAAAGACCCCAGCCTATAGGTGTTTTATGGAATAGCCTATCTTAAACTGACCAGCTATACGTTTTTCTTTTCCTCATTTATTTTGTCGCATGAACTCCTGTGCAATCGGAAAACTAGTGTAATGGCACATGCCATTTTTACCAGACTTGGGCAAAGTGTGCCTCTCACTACGCCCCCAAAGCACCAGCTGGCCCTCTTTGGCCCAAGGTATTCGGCGGGCCGAAAAAGGCCAACCGCTGGCCCCAAGGAAGCTCCGCTTTGGTCCGATCAGGCCCTGGAAGTGACAGTGGAAACGCGACAGGCCCTGGCTCACTCGCTTTAGGTGCGATAGTGGAAACGCTGCTATTGAAAAAGATGATGCACAGAGGAAAGATGAGTGTGAAGCTGCTTTTTACATTGGAGCTGTATGATAACTGCAACTACATTAATGTCAGTAGGAGGGGAGAGTAGCAAATAGGACTTGATGGCGAGTTTCATTTCACTTTTCTTTCATGACTTGCAAAATCGCCTGGGTTTGAATGCATTTCATTAGTTAATGTATTTTTTCTAACATAACCTACTTATGAACAATTTATTCATCATACTTCAACATTTACTAATGCATTATAACCAGATTCATGCTTGTTAACATTAGTTAATGCATCGGGAGTTAACATGAATAACTTTATATTCTTTAACTAACATAAACAAATACTGTAATAAACGTGTTGCTCATTGTTTGTTCATGTTAGTAAATGCATTAACTAACAAACTAATACAACCTTATTGTAAAGTGTTACCGATATTTCTATATAAACCACATTATATAGTTGCATTAGGAGAAAGATTGATGCATCTTCTCTTGTTCATTATTGATTATACAACCCCAGCATTGTTTGCTGCTCATTAAATCAGCTGCATCTGTTCCAGTGATATACAAGCCAAAGCTGATGTGTAAAAACAACACTCCCTTAAGTGCACCGGTGTCATTATTACCTTGTTGTAAAGTTTGATGTTTGTCCCTGGAGTGGTGGAGCCAAAATGAAAGACGAGCGGCGCCTGAACTGAGAAACCTTCTTCAACATCAGCAGGACGCTCGATGCACAGAGCCGACATGGTTCCAGGCACTGAGACCTGCAGGCCAAAACAATTAATCCCAAATGATGTTTAACAGAGCGAGGAATTTTTCACAGTATTTCCTATAATATTTTTTCTTCTGGAGAAAGTCTTATTTGTTTTATTTCGACTAGAATAATTGTTTTTATATTCATTTTAAGGTCAATATTATTAGCAACGTTACACAATGACTTGCCTAATAACTCTAACCTGTCTAATTAACCTAGTTAAGCCTTTAAATGTCACTTTAAGCTGAATACTAACATCTTGAAAAAAACATCTAGTCAAATATTACGTGCTGTCATCATGGCATAGATAAAATAAATCAGTTATTAGAAACATTATGTTTAGAAATGTGTTGGAAAAAAATCTCTGCATTATCAGAAATCGGGGAAAAAAAACAAACAGGAGGGCTGATAATACTTCAACTGTAGCGGCTCTATTTTGACGGTCCATGCGCAGAGCGCAAAACAGAGGGCGCAAACGCTTTCAGGGCATGTCAGGACGCGTTTTTGCTAATTTAAAGACAGGAAATCTGCCTTGCGCCGCGGCGCATGGTCTAAAAGGGTTGAGTTTATTTTCTTAATGAGTTATAGGGGTGTTTTGAGAATAAACCAATTAGAGTCTCATCTCCCATTCCCTTTAAGATCCAGCTGCGTTGCACCATAAGCGCATTTGCTATTTACAGGACGCAAAGTAAGTCTAAGTGGAAAAACTGAGCATTTCACAAGCAAACAGTTCACAGTTAACAGTTTTTTAACAGAAAACTGTTAAGAAGAGCATCTACTGCGTGAGAATGAGAGATAATGGATCTACTTTCACATTCGCTTTTGAATAGGGAAACCTTTACACACAGACATCAATTAGTCTATAAATAAATAATTGCATTTGTTAAGCGCAAATATTCGTTTCAAAACTATTTCTAAATTCAGTTCTAATTTCCAGCAAACGAATAAATGAATAATAATAACAAAGTGTGCTCAAAAACCTGAGTTATATCCTAAAACACATGCTGTGCCCCATATGGTCTAAAACCTGACAGGTGGACAAATCTAAGCTTGTTTTTAATAAAACAAATATAAATATGGATATAATAAATAATACTGCTAATAATAATAACATTATACAGAAGAAAATTGTTATGAATGAACTGAAAAAGCCTCTGGAGATGAAGACATAAAAGCAGTGATTTTTCATATTTATGTAGGCTAGAAAATCATATGTTTTGTAATATTTTAATCCTTTATATTTATATCCTATATCTATTATTATTATATCCTATATATATCCTTAATATTTACATGTTTTCATATGTAAAGATATTTGCCTATTGCTCTCTTGTGTGTATTAAGCAGTGTTAAGTGAGGTGCAACTCTGCGCCGGAGTTTAGACCGGGTTAGTTTTGGTCTAATGAAAAATCTATTATAGTTTCTCAAAATAGCAACGCGCCAGCAGTCCGCCTCAGAACGCCTTCTTTTTAGACCAGAACGCCTATGGCCGCACAAATGAGCGCTAATGCATTTGCTATTTAAACAGCGTAGCGCAACGCCTCAAAACGACTCTTGCGCCGAGCTGAAACTGGCAAACAAGTATTGCGCCACACTGCGCCGGGTGTATGATAGGGCCCTTGATCTTCACTTCTTAATAAGCCTGTTAGGTTTAGAAGATGCTGCATCGATCTCTCTGGCATCATTCACTTACACTGCTCTGGCCGACGTCCAGCTCCACCAGTGTAGGTCTGCGTCCCAGTCGCACTGCATAATTCAGCAGCATCCGACATACTGTTGACTTTCCAACATCGGTTGGGCCGACGACCATTACCTATGATGACAAATGCAGATTAAACAGATATTTAATATTCAGATAACAACCAAGAGCAGTTTATGCTTTATATTATTATGAGTTTGTATTCATTTTATTTATATATCAGTCAGTTTCTATTATTATTGGCCATACAGTTACAGCTGAAGGCAAAATTTTTAGACCTCCAGTGACATTTTAATTCTTCCGCTGTGTGTTCACGTACCCGAGGGCCTCTTTCGTTGTCTTTCTCTGCCTGCCGTCTCATCTGCTCTAGAGCCGCATGTGTGTTCAGGTACAGCAGCATCGGGGTATCTTTGGAGACATAAGCCACCTGCATTTACAGGAAAAAGCCATATTTGAGTTTGTTAATGTCATTTAAGTTTTGTTTTACTAGTGCACATTGTTAAACTTAATGTAAATAATGAGTGCAAGTTAATCTTCTGACAAAAACGTTTGTTTTTGTAATCTTCAATCAACGTCTGATTACAATCCAGCATTGAACTATGCATGTTTGCATTTTTTTTATGACAGTGGAAAAACCCCTAAATAGCAGCATACTCCAGTTTAGGTTGTGAAAATAAGAGTATGACATTGTTTAAAAGTGTAAAAGGGCTATTTCATGTTTAATCACGATTATAATTAAAACAGCATGCTTTTATTCAGTAATAGAAATCATTCAGGATGTCTCTGTACATTGCTGCATTCATCTTTCCCTCTATCCTGACTAGTCTTCCAGTTCCTGCTGCTGAAAAACATCCCCACAGCATGAAGCCAACACCACCATGCCTCAATGTAGGGATGCTATTAGCCTGCCTGCTTTTCTCCAAACGTAATGCCTGGCATTAACTCCAAAGAGTTCAATTTTCATCTCATCGGACCAGACAATTTAGTTTCTTATGGTTTGAGAGTCCTTCAGATGCCTTTTGGCAAATTTCAGGCGGGGAGTGTCTTCCGTCTGGCCACTCTACCATACAGGCCTGATTGGTGGATTGCTGCACTGATGGTTGTCCTTCTGTAAGGTTCTCCTCTCTCCACAGAAGAACGCTGGAGCTCAGACAGAGTGACCATCGGGTTATTGATCACCTCCCTGACTAATGCCCTTCTCCCTGATCACTCAGCTTAGATGGCCGGCCAGCTCTAGGAGTCCTGGTGGTTCTAAACAGCTTCCACTAACAGATGTTGGAGGCCGCTGTGCTCATTGGGACTTTCAGAGAAGCAAAAATGTTTCTGTAACCTTCCCCAGCCTTGTGCCAAGAGAAAATCCTGTCTCGGAGGACTACAGACAACTCCGTTGTCTTCAAGCTTGGTTTTTCCTTTGACATGCACTGTCCTATACACCTATAGACAGGTGTATGCCTTTTCAAATCATGTCCAGTCAACTGAATTTACCAGAGGTGGACATTTGAACAACTAAACGAATGCTTAAGTCTATTTAATTGATTGTATTTTAACAACATTACAACATTAATGCTGTAAAAAGGAACCTTATTAAATTGAAAATAGTCACAAAAACTTCCACCGTAAGTTCATCATTAGCTAAGAAACACTAGCTGTGCATATAGCCTGTTAGAAGTACATCAACACACTGAAATAAAAGTCAGGTTCAAGACTTGCTATCTCTCACCTCTGTTTTGCCTGAAAGTGCCACACCGCAGCCCTGCCAGGTAAACACAGCGATCTTAGAGCCAGGCCCGAAAGTGTATTTCTTATTGCGGTTCAGCTCAGATCCGAATATCTCAGCTAAGCCAGACAGCAGCTCCAGCTGGACTCGTTCTCCTGCTTCCACCTCAAAGCGCAGTTCTGTCTCTTTATCCAGGTCGAATCTGGTGCCTGAAGAACCAGCGCTGCCCGACGAGCTCAGGCCCTCCTCCACAGACTTTTCTGCAGCTTCTGCCGTCATGACTGTGAAGGAGAATTATCAGAGATGAAAAGGATTGTTTACATAACTGCAATCCATTATGAATTATTCTGTATGTTTAAAACCAGCAAATTATGCTATAAATTTCACGTCATGTACTTACTTTTATTCAAATTTCTGCTTAATAAAAAATTAAATAAAAAGATGGAAAGGGTTTTCAAGCATCAAAATAGATGGAATTTATATATTTATTCCAACATGCATAGAACGATGTGTCTTGTTTATATATTTTTTCATATGATAGAAGACAGTAGTGCTGCACAATACTAAGCACTGTTTTTAAGTATTGCAATAATTATATTTCTTGTGATATAAAACCTCCAGATAGATTTTTAAACTTACAAAAATAAATAGGCAATAGATTTTTCTGATCTAATTAAATCTAATTTATTCAACAAAGAACAACAACGTCATAGAGTAAAAATTTTGACTTTAAATCACTATGAATGAATTTTCTATCGTCTCGACTCCTGCCATTAGTGTATTTTTAGTTCCCCTTTGGGACGGTCTAGCCAACATCAAAACAGCACCTACTGGGGACACAGGTATAAAGTGTAAAGCCCCATCCAATTGGTCAAATTTGGACAATTAACCAAATGCATGCAACACACAAATTCTTGTCACATAAAATAAATGCAAATTATTGCACCTCTCTGTCATATGAATACTGCAATTTGATATATTCAATTTATTTCAAGAGTTCACACTTAGATACTGTTCGACAACTTGTTAGCAAGTTAGCAGGTTTGGCGTGCTGTCCCGGGAGAGAACCCTGAGCTCGGAGATAGTTGAGCCCAGGGCTCCCGCCAGGTCCATTGAGCATGTGAGGGGAGTACGAGATCAGGAGTTCTCGAGAGCTCCCCTAGGCAAAAGAGGAAAGGAGGAGAAGGGGTGGATGGGGGGTTTCTTCGGGAAACGAAGATAAGGGAGTAGTTCTTAGCTAGTTAGCTAGGTTACTTATAGTGAGTTTGGATCAATCTGATTGGCTAGCTAATGAGTGTAGATGAGTGGCCAGCTGCAGTCAATCATATCACATGCTCCTCTCGAAATTAGTTTGTGAAACTTCATTTAGGACAACCACTAAAATGCTATTCAGTGTAACAATCTTATATACAGGGTGGGGGAATAGTAACTAGGCTATTTTAATAGCTATAGAAGTTTTAGTATGACTGGAGTCACAATGAAAGCAGTCTATAAACAGATTAATAAAAAGAATTTTATATTTTCCATGTTAATATTTGAAAAAATTGACTTCATTACAATTTTTTATTGCCTGGTTATATATATATATATTCTAGTTGATCATTTGGAAAAGTGGCAGAAGGTAGATTATTCCAATGAATTATTTGTTGAACTGCATCTTAATCATCACAAATACTGCTGAAGACCTACTGGAGCCCACATGAACCTAAGGTTCTCATAGAAATCAATCAAGTTTGGTGAAGGAGAAATCATGGTTTGGGGTTACATTCAGTATGGGGGCGTGCGAGAGATCTGCAGAGTGGATGGGAACATCAGCAGCCTGAGGTATCAAGACATTTGTGCTGCCCATTACATTACAAACCACAGGAGAGGGACAATTCTCCAGCAGGATAGCGCTCCTCATACTTCAGCCTCCACATCAAAGCTTCTGAAAGCAAAGATGGTCAAGGTGCTCCTGGATTGGCCAGCCCGATCACCAGACATGAACATTATTGAGCATGTCTGAGGTAAGATAGAGCAAGAGGCATTGAAGATAAATGCAAAGGATCTTGATGAACTCTGGGAGTACTGCAGGAACTTGATTTGAGTCATTGCAGAGATGTATGGATGCAGTCCTCCAAGCTCATGATGGAGTCAGACACAATATTCATTCTGTCTCCACTGCAGCAGGACTTTATATTCTATACTGGACATTATTTCTGTTCAGTGATAAGACTCATGTCTAAGCAAAGTCAAACCTTACTGCATTAATGAAATAGTTATAAATCAAGGCATGATCATATTTTATTTTGGTAAAATAAGCGTAATTTAAAGGCCTTTGCCCTTCATATAAGCCACTTCTGATACCAAATGATCAACTAGAAGTCAAATTATTATGTGCTGTTCCTAAAACTTTTGGCAACATAACTTTTTGTCAGGTAGTGTATGTGTATATGTATATATAGCGACAATATTGTCAGACATTTTGAAGACGAAACGTTTGATGACACATTAAAACACAAAACACTTTTCTTTACTCCAAAAAAGGATCAATATTGTTTTATAAATATTTTTTTTAAAAAAAAAACGTTATAGGACAGAATTACTAACTTATGAACTCTGAAAAGGCGGTTGTACATTATATACCATATATTACCATATTTAGACATTTTATTTTCACTCAAGTCTATTAAAATATTGAAGTAGCCATTTTAGCATTTTAGCTAAATATAATGTGATGTAACGTTAGACACAGACATGTTTTTTTTGACCATATTCACTTGCTAGCGCAATGTATGTGCTTTAAACAAAGACAAAGCAGCAATTATTGTATTGTACCTGTGTGAAGTCGTCCGATCGGCGATATATCCTGGGAAATACTGTTTTATTTCAAGCCGATAAATTACTGAATTGTTAGCTTCTTACGATTAACGTTAGCCCGCTGAATAAACCGACGGTCATATGACTTAGCGTGTACTATCAACTAATGTACCGTGACACTAAGCACTATTTAAAGTTCCTTTGTATTTACAAATAATCAGCACTTTCCTCACATCAGCGCGGTGCGACTGTCAAACCACGCCATCGTGATGACGTCGTGTCGCTTGTAGACGTCGTCATGTTACTGCTGACCAATGAACGGGCAAGATCTTCTCTTCTTCTGTTTTCTTCTTTAGGTTGCATAGATATAATTTTTTAGTACATCATTAAAGTGTGGTTATGATGACATCTGACTAGTTATTACAGCAAAAAAATCACTGAAATGCTGTATTTTATCCATAACCCACAGTAAATCTCTGAAACAAGGGAGCAATCTGAAACCGAAGAGCTGAAGGGAGTCTGGACATTTTTTCTGCACAGAATTGTGTCAAAGATCTGCGGATTTATTTATTATTTTGGAAGTATCATAACTAAAACCTTATTTTATTAAATAAAAAGTAATACCTTTTAAACTTTTATTTAATGCTTACAATGCAAGTCCAATTAGATCCTCTTTATTTGGTAAACAAAGCAAGTCTTTTATATAATATCTCTACTAAAAGACAGAAAATATAACTTTACAAACTGTATTGTAAATCATTCATACGAAAATTTTCAAATTAGTCAATAATATTATTGTAAATAATTAAAAAACTGAGTAAATATGGATTTACATACATTTACACAAGCAAATAAACAGAATTCTGCGCACGTAGATTCTGTGTGGGCCTAGTCATGTTGTCAGTATAACAGTGTACTCTGGAGGGGTGTTCTGATGTAAACTGTGGCTAATTTATTTATTTATTTGCTGTTTGTACAGTAATTTGTTGCCAGATCATGTCATTGTGTTACAGAAAGGAAAATACAGCACTACACAGGACAAAGAAAAAAACAAAAGTAGAAATGTGAACATAGGACAATCTCCCTTCTGATACACCTCACCTTTATTAGACAAAGTCAAGATTGACCTGGGAGCAATTTACCAATTATAGATGTAGAAAAAAGTCTAATATAAATGTATAGAAAGTGCATTATGACTAAATATCATGACAACTTGTTCAACTTCTTTTATATATATATAACTAGACATTAACTTTTTTCCTCACCACCCACAGGTCATTTTCACAAGACAAAGTTTTGTTATTGGAAAATGTATTTTACATACTTTAATTTGACTTTTGCATGCTTGAAGTACTTGAGTAAGAGACATTTTAATTGATTTTTGTCATTAAAATAACTCTGACTTTCAATATTATGATATAGATAACTAAACTTACAGTAGTTTGACATAAAACCAAAACAAAACCCATTCTTGTCTTAGGACATTTTTATTAAGCAAATGTTTGAATAACTGTACGCTTATGACATGTTAAATATATAGTATATTCTGCTGGGTTTAAACATACAGAATAATAATAAATACAGTTATGTAACAACCATAACATTACCATTGTGTCTTAGGACATTTTTGATTAACTTTTTATTCCCTACACCAAATGTTGACTAATGAAGGTACATTTATAACAAATATTTATTTGTTAGACTACTTTATTGTCAAACCATGTTGCATACAAATGCATTCAACAGGCTTACAGTTGAAGTCAGAATTATTAGCCCCCTTTCGATTTTTTTCTTTTTTTTTTTTTTTTAAATATTTCCCAAATGGTTTTTAACTGAGCAAGGAAATTTTCACAGTATGTCTGATAATATTTTTTCTTCTGTAGAAGTCTTATTTTTTTATTTCGGTTAGAATAAAAGCAGTTTTTAATTTTTTAAAAACCATTTTTGGGACAAATTTTTTAGCCCCTTTAAGCAAATTTTTTTCATCGTTATACAACAACTTGCCTAATTACCCTAACCTGCCTAGTTCACCTTATTAACCTAGTTAAGCCTTTAAATGTCAGTTTAAGCTGTATAAAAGTGTCCTGAAAAATATCAAGTAAAATATTATTTACTGTCATCATGACAAAGATAAAAGAAATCAGTTATTAGAAATAAGTTTTTTAAACTATTATGATTAGAAATGGGCTAAAACAATCTTCCCTCCATTAAACAGAAATTTGGGGAAAAAATAAACAGGGGTGATAATAATTTAGGGGGGCTAATAATTCTGACTTCAACTGTATATGACAGTGAATTGCTGTAGAGGACAAATAAAACACGAGACAGGTGTTTAGAAAGAGTATAGTTTATTTAGTTTAACCTGCGAACTTATCTAAACAAGATAAACTTTCAGAAAACATCACAGAAACATTATAATGCGCGCGCTCATCAATATAACCCGTGGTTGTCTTCAACGGTTGTCCTTCTTTGCTCAACAACTTAGCTGAAAAACAAAGCAAAACATTAACAACAGCCAGACATACAGTTAAAACATTACATTTATCATGGTTTCTATTTTAAATTATAGTAAACTAACGTTTGAAACTATAGTTTAAAATAGACGATGAGTGGGCCTTGTTGCTCCCACCCACCATAACCCTTGGAGCGGGGTCCCACTACCGGCCTCCCGTGTTTCCCTGAGGGTCCTCACGGCTTGTTTTGTTCCCTGCCTAGGGCGGACTTCGTGAGATTGGCGTGGCTCCACTCCTACCATCAGGTATTGAACTCACCTTGGTCAAGTACAAACAGCAACACCGAGCGAACTGATAACTGAGAGAGAACCGACGAGCTTTATAGGAACGCAGATGCAAATGTTTACAATGCGACGTCACTGCTGAGTCTCGTTGTCATGGTGATCGCTGAAGAGAATACACCTGATTGGAGCACACAGACTCGGGAATTTCCGTCACAGCGAGTTGCTGTCGGCTGTGGACAAAAACGTGCGGAATATGTATTCTTACCTTTTTGGTGCTGTGTATTATTATGGGATGCAGTAGAATATGGAGACAGATAAATATGATTAAAGACAGATGAGGGACATTAGAACAGAAAGTGAGACACACTGCTCTGAATACTCCTAGTGGTGGTAAGCTTCTTATTATGCAAGAACGCCATCTTGCGATCACAACCTAATAGCATGTTACTTGCTACTAACCACCCCCACGGCCAAAAGGTCCAGCATTTGTCCTTTTTTTTTAGGTATTTTCGTATTATATACTATATTCATTATATAATTAATAAAATATATTTATATTCAATATATATTCCCGTCACGTCTGTGTTTATGAGGCTGTTTGGTCTCTTCATTCGTTTTATTCTGATCAGATATCAGATCGCTCAAACCACTTCAGAAGGTGATATGGGATGCATTCCAGATGAAACTGGACAGGTATGATCATTTGTATAGACAAAACTAATATAAATAAATTAAATTATGACCTGTAGAAAATCTGACATGTGTCTGAAACACCTGTAGGTGCACTTTTACAGGCACAAATCTATTAAAAACATGTTTACTATAAGCATAAATCATAACTTTTCAGGCCTTTAGCCAGGGGGTTCGAAACACCCACCCTCACTGACAAAGGTCCAGAATTTGTCCCATACAACTCATTTGTCCTATTTTGACTGTATAAGAAACCCCATGACATCATAAGTAATGAAAATAATTCATCGAAAAAAGGCTTTAAGACCAAACGGAGTCCGCTGTTGCTTCAGTGCGACTATAATCTGATGTAAGAGAAGTCTTCTTTCACAACCGTATTGTTTTTTAACAGATAAAACATTTTACAGGTAACTTTATTTTAAATCTAAAATATAAATAGCAATAAAAATGTGTGAAGCACCAGAAGCTGACCATATTAAATTAAGTTGAATATATTTTGGCTATTGCTGATGTCCAGGAATTTTCAAATGTACTGTTTTTTTAGCAAAGAGACTAGAAACATTCTGAAAAATTCATTATTATTTTATTATTATGTTTTAATTATTATTGTTTTATTGAAATGGCCAAATTGTGACTGAGGACAGTTGAATGTGCTGGCCAGTTTGTTTTTTGTCTGATAAATGACAGTAGGCTACAGTTTTTTTAAAACTTTAAAACTACCAGATTGCTATTTCTTCCTAATATGATATGATAAATTTGTGTTTTAAAAAATAGACTTGTTTTAATTGCAAATTTTTAGGAAATATTTTTAGTACATCAAAAAGTGTGGTTATGATGACATCTGACTAGCCAATAAAGCTAGCTATTAAAACCCACTAAAATGAGGTATTTAAATCTCATTGTTAACTAGAAGCTGAGGTGTTTAACTGCAAAAATGTCCACTTTTTCAGAAAAAAAAGAACCACCCCTTTCACCAGGCTGGCTATGGGCCTAGAAGCAACATTTAGAAATGAGGTGAGCTTGTTTAATGTGTTTTGTTGTTAAATCTGAAGTTTTACATCATGTTCATTCTTTGTAACAGTATTAATGATCTTAAAAATGAGTGATCAGGTTTATAATTTCATCATTTCAATTAGATGACAATTTAATAGCGGCCATTTCTGTTTATTACAGTACAGATGACCTTGTCATATCTGTTAAGTATAACTTTCATTCATTCATCCATTTTCTTTTTGCCTTAGTCTCTTTAGTAATCTGGGGTCGACACAGCGGAATGAACCACCAAATTATCCAGCATATGTTATGCAGCGGATGCCTTTCCAGCTGCAACCCATCACTGGGAAACATCCATACTAACTCATTCACAAACATACACTACGGCCAATTTAGCCTACCTAATTCACCTGTACCGCATGGCTTTGGACTGTGGAGGACAGTTGGCATTTCTGTGTAGAGTTTGCATGTTCTCCCTGTGTTGGTGCGGGTTTCCTTCGCGTGCTCCGGTCTCGCCCACAATCCAAACTCATGCGCTATAGGTGAACTGAATAAACTAAATTGGCCATAGTGTGTGTGTAAGAGCCATTATGTTTTGTAATGCTGTTTTTGACCACTGGGTGGAGTGGGGGTTTGGAGGAGTATATAGGTAGACAAAGACTTAGAACAACAGGTGTGTAATTAGAGGGAAGCACAACATTTTTTGACCGTGTTTGAAAGAGCTTTATTGAGGCATTCAATGTGATTTTATGAGCATTTATATATCAGACTGTGAGTGGAAATTGAACCATAAGAACTGTCTGTGCAAAAAATAAATCTGATAAGCAGTATTTGGAGGATGATTCGTTTGTTGAGCTCTCACGC